AATATCATGTATAGTGCGTGGAGAAAACATGATAAGAGTAAATCTGTTCTCAATTGGCAGATTATGAATATAACCCCTTTTCAGTGTAGCAGTATGAAAATGCTTCGAATCTACAAATTCTGGCTCTACATCGAATAAGTACTGTGATATTTCAGTCCAAACCAACTGGAGCAAGTGCCACGTTCTCATAGTAGAAATAAGGAGACCCAATAGCATCTTCTGGAAGTGTTCTTTGAGTTATCTGATCTGGTTTGGTATGAACCCCAAAACCAATCATTAGATTTGAAAGATGAATTTGCTCATAGTAGAAATAAAGAGACCCAATAGCATCTTCTAGAAGTGTTATTTGAGTTATCTGATCTGGTTCGGTAGGAACCCCAGAACCAATCATTGGAATTGAAAGATGAACTGCATGATCGTATTCATTAAGAAGCTTCTTTTCAAGCTTCCTCTGCTTCTTCCTTTTCAAAAATCATAGCCCAAGTTTCGCCTTTGCTTGTAATTGGGATCATTGCATAATGACTTCCTATCTTCTACCATAAGAAGTGCATCAATAGCCTTAGCCAGTTGATCAGCACATATAAAATCTGTCAATTCTGCAATTGATGAATCTGGACCACATCTCTCTATGGTTATTGAAGTCTCAGCCTCTGAGAATCCCATTTTTGTCAAGTATAACAGTTTATTCTCCTCATCAGAATCAGAATTCAGGATTTCCTCGATATCAGAAGAACTATCAATATCTGTGAAATCATCCTGAAAGATCACTTCATAATCAGATGAGTTGTTATCAGAATCAACATGTTGCATGGGTGTGGATTTTTCAAGAGCCTGTACCACTGTATATGTAGTCTTGCTATTGCATCAGATTACTGTTTGCATAAATTGGTTTCTCTCCCACAGAAAAGTATATTTCAGAGATGGCCTTCACTGAAAGATGATAAGCCACTGTGTCCGCCTGGAACGGATTACCAAGCTATTTTTACTACTCTGTCTGATTAAATCCCTCCAGATACAGAAAATGTTCACCTCATTCAGAAGAGGCACATATCTCAGACGTTTCTGTCAAAATGATTGATTGCTTCTTAAGTCTGTGACAACGTGAAGAGAATTCCTCCAGTTACTTGACAACACTGCTGTTTAGTGACACCATAATGAGAGCATTCAAGATAAACAGATTTGGGGCACGAATAAATCCACATGTACCCATAACAATGCATTGTCAAAATTAGACCTCATAGGGATCATGAGATTCAAGTCAAACAGACATTGAAAATAAACCAGAATTAGAATGTTGGGGGCATTTTGAAGGCCCAAGTCAGACAGATCCATGTGGGACATCTTGAGGGCCAATTTCAACCAGAAATAGAATATTGGGGCATTTTGAAGGCTCACAACAATATGAATATTTGGGCATTCTTGGAGGCTCATCTCAATAAGAAATAATGTTGAGCACACTTTTAACATCTGTATCAGCAAATGTTGGGGCATTTTAAAGGTTCTTTCAGACAGATCCATGTAGGGAATTTTAAAGGTTCAAATTAACAAGAAGCGAATGTTGTGGCATGCTGAAAACCCTTTCAATCAGAATCAGGAATATTGAAGTATTATGAATATTTATATCAGCAAAATGTTGGGGCATGCTGAAAGCCCTTTTCAATCAGAATCAGGAACGTTGGTGCATTTTTGAATATTTGTATTAGCAAATGCCGGGGCATGCTGAAGGCCCACATCATCATGTGTCAAGATCATTGACTTGAACAAATATTTCCAATGAGACAGAAAGATATGAAGAATAAAAATGATAAAACAGTGACAGTCGAGCTGACTATACATAATTGCTTCGTTCATCAGGCAGTTGCATTAGAATCTTGTTGTTGAACAAATATCTACTCAGCAAGTATGGTTTTCAAATACCCAATCTTCTTAACCGTGTTTCATATGACATCTTGTTCTTTGTTAAGCTACATCACGGTTGCATGAATAAAGATGGTCCCCAGGTAGACTACTCGATCCAGGGTTCAGTTCCTCAAGATCTCAGCTTTGAATTTTGCATTCTGTGTGTCGGTGATGATTGAAAATATTTCTTTGAGATTCCTGGCAGTTAGTTTCAACCATAATGTTGAGATTATAAAGCTGTTTTTCACATCAGTTTTTGCTTACTTGATGACATTGAAAAGGGAGACTCGACTCTCACTTATATTATTGTTATTCCCGTTGTTATTGGGATCATCATTGCTAGCCAAGATGAACTGAGTTTCCATCTATTTTGATTTTATCATGTACGTTTAATCCCCAGAAGCAAGAATTCTAAGGATATCTGTCTGTACATGGATCCTATAGCTGAAGTGTTTCTACTTTCTACAATGCTCATTACAGAAGAAAACGTGATCAGTATTATATTTGCCTTTGCCCGATATGAAAACGTGATCAGTTGGTATCTCCTATTCAATTCGACACTAGCACATTTTGTGAATTTGACCAACTTTTTGGTCATACCAACATCTCACTTGTATCCCCACTGAGTTTTGTTCTCAAGTGATCTTGTGACATCATACAAAAACTTTGAACACTAGGCAAAGAGCTTCAATGATTGAGAAATTTAAGCAGAAGCCACAGAAAAGGATGAATGTGTTGTCAAATGCTTTACGAACATTTGAGCAGAAACCACAGAAAAGGATGAATGTGTTATCAAGTGTTTTACATCTGAGCAGAAACCACATGAGATGATGCATGTGTTATCAAATGTTTTACGAACCAGTTATTCTGATGCTGAACCAATGTTGTGATCATATGGTTTCCATTTTTGATCCAAGATGAAGTTTGTCTTCTTCAACTTCAAGATTATAAGTTGAGATATGATGAAGATCTCTTTCCGCAGAAGGAGAGCTGAAATTTTAACAACAAGAAACTAGTAGAGCCAACTAAGGTTGAATGATAGGTTGTTGTTAAGCATCTCGACATGATATGATCCAAGTTGCCTTGTTCAAGAACCATTTAAATATGGGGACATGAAAGGAATTGAGATAAATTCTCCTTATGATGTGTTTCAAGAGTCAAATTAGAACAGACTCTACTCCCCTAATTAATCCCTGCTGAGTCAGGCATATCTACATCTACACTCTTTAAAGATGATAGATTCTCTTTTTAAAGATGATATATTCTCTTTTCAAAGATGAAAGCTTTATGGGATTTATACACAAGTCCAAGTTATCCAAGATAAAATGGGGCATCAGGGTCATAATTTTGACTACAACAAGAGTTCCACAAGTGAAACATTTCTTCTGAGACTTAAATGAAGCAAAGAAGATGTAAAGATACAAGTTGATCAGATGATTCTGTAGAAATACAAGCTTGATAGCATAAGTTTCTACACTGATATCCAGAGGTAACACTGGCAATAAATGATGAAGTGAAGGAAGACCAAGTTCACCACTTTGAAGTCGAAAGAAGATTGCATCAACATTCATGCATTCATAAGAATATCATTTACACAATAGACAATGCATTACATTGATACATTTGAGTGCATTCAAACATGAAGTTTTACAGATCTTCGGAAGAACAAGAAGATTCATGGTAAAAAAATACCTTACAAGAAGAAGGTATTCAAAACCGCAAATACAGGAATCATGCAAACATCTGAAGAAGAGATGGAAGCAATCCACAAAAATTAGCATTATCTTGAGATTGGGGCATGTTACCCAATCAACATGTTATTTCAAAAAAAACAGAATGAGAAAACGATTTTCATAGTTTCTCATTTTATCTTTTCTAAAATGAAATTGTTGAAAAGTAAGAAAACGATTTTCTTATTTTTTTTTACTTAGTAAATTATTTCCAACAGCCTTATCTTGAGATTGGGGCATGTTACCCAATCAACATGTTATTTTGAAAAATAATGAGAAAACGATTTCCATAGTTTCTTTCAATCTTTTCTAAAAATGAAATTGTTGAAAAGTAAGAAAACGATTTCCTTAGTTTTTTTACTTAATAAACTATTTCCCACATCTGTAAGTCCTGCAGTGCATGATGTTTCCAAAAAGCCTTCGGGAGCTTTTTAATGTTTTCAAAGCCTTAGGGTCATCTGTAAGTCCTACAGTGCATGATGTTTCCAAAAAGCCTTCGGGAGCTTTTTGATGTTTTCAAAGCCTTAGGGTCATCTGTAAGTCCTGCAGTGCATGATGTTTCCAAAAAGCCTTCGGGAGCTTTTTGATGTTTTTAAAGCCTTAGGGTCATCTATAAGTCCTGCAGTGCATAATGTTTCCAAAAAGCCTTCGGGAGCTTTTTGATGTTTTCAAAGCCTTAGGGTCATCTGTAAGTCCTGCAGTGCATGATGTTTCCAAAAAGCCTTCGGGAGCTTTTTGAGGTTTTCAAAACCTTTGGGTCATCTGTAAGTCCTGCAGTGCATGATGTTTCCAAAAAGCCTTCGGGAGCTTTTTGAGGTTTTCAAAGCCTTAGGGTCATCTGTAAGTCCTTCAGTGTATGATGTTTTCAACATTTCCATATTACTTAAAATAAGCCGAATGAAAAATTATTGTCTTTTTCGTCTTTGCTCTATTCTTGTTAACACAAGAATGAGCAAAGAGGGGCAGCTGTAGACATTAATTTTTCACTTTCATTAAAATTAAAATTATTAATTTTATTATTATTATTAATATATATTATTATTATTATTATATAAATAAATTACAAAACTGGAAGCCCGTTTACAAGCCCAAATCCCAGGCCCAACCAGAACCGGTCCAGACCCAAATAGAAACCCTGAATTAATTTGGGGTTTCAGCTAGGGTTTTCAAACCCTAGCCCCCAGCCGCCTCCAAGATTCCAGAAGGCCAGCTGCCGCCTCTGCTCAGCCGCCACCTCCACGTTGACGCTTCAACTGCTGCCACGCCGCCGTCAGTGCCACGAAGCCACCCTCTTCGAAGACTCCAGAAACACCACGTCGGCCGTCCACGTCGCAGCTATGGGGTGAGTCACCACATAGTTTGGTGACTCACCAGAACTCATCTCTGGGACCGGTCCAACGAGAGCCTCGGTGGTGGCTATAAAAACCACCCCACCTGCAAGACAGAACACACACACAACAAGCAAAGAACGGAGACAGCAACCAACAGACCAGAGAGAGCAACGAAGAGATACCGAACAGACAATAGAAAACAAAGAAAACAAATAACAACCCTCAGCAGCAAACAAAACAAAAAGAAAGAAAGGAGAAAGAACTTACCGAGGAAACCACGCGGTGACCGGAGACGCTACGTTCCGAGGAAACATTCGAAATACCCGAAGGTATTTCTCTAGATCTGCTCCGATCAAGAGTTTTTTAGGGAAAACCAAGGCCAGATTCGGCCTTGGGAGGTTCGGGGCTTTATTTTGGGGTCTTTATGTAAAATCCGACCACCGTATATGGTAGCCGGCGGCGGTGGTCGAGACCAAAGCGCAGCCGTCGGCCGGAGCTCAATTCCCTCAGATGAGGGAATTGAAGAGAGAACCGAGAGAGAATGTTAAATTCTCTCTCAGTTAGAGAGAAGAGAAACGAGAGAAATGAGGATGCTGGCCCTTCGGTCCAGCCGTTTGGGTAAATATAAATCCCTCCTCAAATGACGCCGTTTTGGGGAGGGACCCCTGTGTAATTTTACATACGGGTAAAACCCTTTCTGTAGTCATTCAAGTTTTATAAATTTACATTATGGTCACTAATATCAATTTATGAGCCTTGTAATTCGGTTTTCTAATTCTGTTTTATTATAATTTAATCACTTCTACATATGTATATATATCCTTAGTATAAAATACCCTATTTAGTCCCTTAAGTTTTAATATTTTTTATTTTGATCATTAATTAAATAATTAAGGCTAAATGACACTGTTAATTATTATATTTCATAATATTATGAATTAGACCATTTAATTTTAATAAGTTATAATTTAATCCCTAAATTTAATTTATTTAATTTATTATTTTTAAGACCCTAGTTTCAACTTTATTTATTTTAGTCATTGTTTATTTATATTTTAATTTTATATGTTTATATATTTAATTACTTTTGTTCTTATTATTATTTATTCATATAAATATATATATATATATAAACTAATATTTATTTATTTATTTTATTTGTTTTTTTAATCCTATTTATAAATTTAATTTTATAAATTACTTTTGAGAAAAGTAATAATTTTTTAAATATATATATTTATTTTTCAATATTAAGAAAGGACAGTCTTAAAGCATCTGGATGTCCATTTTCTGATATTTTTAAATAAATAAATATCTTATTTTATAAATTATATATTATTATATTATTATTATTTTTAGAAAAATGTTTTAATTATTTATTTATTTTTAATATCGAAGAAAAGAGCTTCCTTAAGGCACCTAGAAGTCCTTTTCTAATATTTCTAATTAAATAAATATTTTATTTATATTTTATATATTAATTAATATATTTTGAAATAATAGGATTATAAATTAAATATATTTTGAATTTTTAAATTTCTAATAATAGAGACAATTTATAATTAAAAAGTACAAATTCTGGGCGTTGTAGGGGTGCTAATCCTTCCCTAAACGTAACCGACCACGAATCCCTTTTTATTATTAAAAAGAACGAATTTTTGGTTAAAACGCATATCAGTTTATCTTTTAATCGATGTTTTGTTAAAAACTCTTTTAAAGGAAGATTTTTAGGTATTCGACCTACCTGATCCAAAAGACCGATGGCGACTTCCAAATTATTTTAAAACCCATTTATTCATATCACTTTTCCCACCAAGTAGAAACTTCGTGCCCGGACGAAAACCGGTTACGACAATCGTGATCGAATAAAATTCAAAATTTGAAATCACTCCAACAATTGAAAATTTTCCTACATAATAAATGAGTATGGTTGAATGAACTCAAGCAATTCAATTTTATCAGAAATACACTTTCACATTTTAAGTTGATCTGTATACCCAAATCATGAACGAAAATGGAAGTGATAGTTGTCTCTTACATTTACAGCAACTAGGCTGCCCCAGTAAGTGTACTTATCAACTAAATCATGTTAGCATTTTAAACAAAAAGTAAAAATATAAATATAAGAAAATAAAATGACAGATTGGAAGTGATGTCGCTTTGGCCGAGTGGTTAAGGCTTGTGCCTGCTAAGTACATGTGGTCTCCCCGCGAGAGTTTGAATCTCTCAGGCGACATAATATTTTTTTACCCTTTTTTTGGGTAAACTATACCAGAGACCACCCAACTATAGTCTCTTTTCATTTTGACCATTATTTTTGAATTCTTGTCAATCAGGCCATCTAATTATTTAAATGCATTCAATCAGGCTACTTGTCGTTAACATTTAACGGAAGTGCTGATGTGAAAGTTAATAAAATTGGTATAATTACACATTTGGTCACTGTTACTCATATAATATATCAATTTGGTCCTAAATTTAAATAAATTTATTCTTGGAATCATATCCTGTCACGTGTCACTAATACCAAATATCATGACACGTGTCGTCACCCTATTGGAGGTTTTAATTTATTTTAATTTAATATATTTAGTTTCCACGTGTCACCCTGTGGTGGAAAAAAAATTAAGAGTGATAAAGAGGGAGGGATTCAAACTAGCAACTATTGGGGGAGAAGGGAGAAACCCAACCACTAGGACAACTTCTTTTTTTAGTTTAAAGTAGACTACATATTATATATATCTTGTTTTCTAGTATAATTTTAAATTATTAACTATAAAATATTTTTTATCTTAATTTAAATATTTAAACTTTATTCTTATAATATTTTAAAATATATATTCAATAAATTAAGAAAAATAAAATAAAATATATATTTTTATAGTTAAGAATTTAAACATATATTTTAAATATATATTCTTAACTCAAATAATAAACTTTTCCTACTTTAAACCAAAAAATATATATTAGATAAATTAAGAAAAAATATATATTTTTATAGTTAAGAATTTAAATATTTTAAATATATATTCTTACCTCAAATAATAAATTTTGCCTACTTTAAACCAAAAAATATATTTTCGATAAATTTAGAAAAAAAATAAAATATATAATTTTATAGTTAAGAATTTAAGATTATACTAGGAAACAAGATATATACAATATATAGTCTTCTTTAAACCAAAAAATGAACTTGACATAGTGGTTGGGCTTCTCTATTCTCTCCCAATGGTTGTTGGTTTGAATCCCTTGTGCCCCTTTTATCACTCTTAATTTTCTTTCCACTAGAGGGAATTGGTGGAAACTAAATATATTTTCAAATAAATTAAATCCTTCAATTGGGTGGCAACATGTGGCATGATTTGATTCAAATATTAAATTTATTTTAATTTATTAAATTTAGGACCAAATTGAGATAGTATATAAGTAATAGGGACTAAATGTGTAATTTTACCAATTTTATTAATTGCTACATCATTACTCCCGTTAAATGTTAACGGCAAGTGGCTTGATTGAATGCATTTAAATATTTGGGTGGTCTGATTGATAATAATTTAAAAATGGTGGTCAAAATGAAAATGAGCTATAGTTGGGTTCTCTGGTGTAGTTTACCCTTTTTTTGGTTGACCTTCGTAGGAGAGAGAGCATTGAAACAAGAAGAGATTTCAGAAAGATGTGCAAAACCAAAACAGCAAAGACATTGATTCTATGCGGTCGGAAAGAGTGTGTAAAGAACGTGTTCACTCATCTCAACTTTTAAAGTTTTCAGTTTATCAATAAAGTTTTCAATTTCGTTCGTCATAGTCACTCGACCTTTAAGTATTTTTATAATTCTAAAAATAAATAATTTTTAATTAGAAAAAGTTTTAGATAAAAATTATATTCAATTAAAAATATCTTAAAGTAATATTGTAGATAAAATTATCTTAATAAATTATCTATTTTTTAAACAACAAGTTATGATTGAAAATTTAAAATTAATTAAAATATTGTTATTTAAAAGCTAGATAAATTATATGATTGATCACTTTCATGTAAATTTTATACATTTTTCTTACTAAATTAAAAATAATAATATTTGATCACTTTGATTTTTATTTAATTAAAATGTGGTCATTAAGAATTACGTTAGAATTTTAATGGAATATTGACGCGACACACTAAAGATATAAAATTAAAATAGGAGAATTCATTTTTATTTAATTAAGACGTGGTCACTAAAAATTTGTTATCGTTAGAGTTTTAACGGATTATTGACGCACACTGAACATGTAAAGTTAAAGAAGATCATTCATTTTATTTAATTAAGATACGGTCACTGAAAATTAATTGTCGTTAAACTTTTAACGAATTATTGACGTGGCACATTGAATATATAAAATTAAGAAGAAAAAAAAGATAAATAGGAACCTAATAGGTTGACTTAGAATTAAAATCTTATCCCTTTAGACAACTAGCCAATGAATACGGATTTAAAACTGCAGAGAGTTGTATCAAGGATCTTCTAAAAGTTTGGTTTAAAGATTGTGGAATTTTCATGAGATGACACATTCTCATGTTTGGTTGGTCGAGAATCTCATTCCCGGTAATGTTTATTATCAATAGTAGATTTTTTGGGGTATATTATCGGGAATGTCATTACCTCCATTCCCTTAGGTATTGTAACATTATCGGCGTTTTGAACTAAAATGCCCTTAATTTTTTTTTCTCAAAAATATCATTCTTCTGTCATTGAATAATAAAAATTCTACGAAGGTTAAATTACAAATTTATCCTTAAATTATTTTAGATTTACAAAAAAAAAAAATCTATAATTAAAATTTTATATGAAGTTAAGAGGTTAAATTTTTTTTTACCCTTTCATTAAACTTTTTTTATATTTTTAATTTTATAAAAAAATTATATAAATATTATGAATTTAATTTTTTAAAAAATATATATAAATATTTTACAATTTGTAATATTATACAAATATATAATAAGGACAATTTGGTCAAATATACATTCCAATAATCTTTTATTCCTTTAACCAAACACGGTAATCTTACATTCCTGCTAAACCAACCAAACACAAAATACAACATTCCCAGTAATCCTATTCTCTGGTAATCTTTTATTCTCACTAGTAATCTTACATTCCGTGAACTCAAAGTCCTTAGCGTTTGTTGTTTTATTTAATGATTTTTTTTCTATTTTCCCTTCAATTATTTTAAATAAAAATGATTTTGATTAGTCTCATACTTGATTGGAGCTTTTGTAGCCTTTTAAGGTGTAGAAATAAAAAGGTTAATCGCAGAACCCACCTCTATGGTTCATTCATGGCTTTGATGGATTGTTCATCTCTGATCCAATTTCGACAACTGGAAGGCACAAGTCAAATCACTCGAGCTTGGAGATGAAATAAACTTCAAGCTCAACGCAATCAGTCCCCTAAATAGGAAATTTTCATCCCACCCCCTTCAAAATTATAGTTTCCAATATTAAAACAATAAAGTTAACTTCCCAACCTTAAAAATAATAAATTTAAATTTTATTTTATTAAAAACTTTGAAACAAAAATAATATCTTCGTCTTTTAAAAATGCAAACGTTAACACATAAAGACACGCACCCTGTTACACGGATCTCAAATACAATAAAGCTACATACAAGCCCCGTAACAAACCTATGATTTACGCAACAAATAATGCCATCCAAATGACGACTCGAATAAAATTTACTTCCAAAGCGTCGGGCTTTGAGCTGACAACTACGGATGGAAGCTGTATCAAAAACACATTGAAAAAACAGACGCCCACCTAATCAAATTAAATCCAAAAGAGGGGGTTGTTCCGATATCTGCTGTTGACGGCGGTGGTGCAAGTCTTGTAGCAGTCTGCTCTTTCTTACTAGAACCACATATAGATCCGATATCTGCTGATTTCTGGTTGTTGTATGAAGAACTCATTGGAGCTGAAACCCTCTGGTTCTGTTTCAAGAATCCAATACTTTTCTGGGGACCTCCACCATTCAAAATATCTGCATTCAAGGTTGAACTCCCTTGATTGGGTCTTAGTAAGGCCCCAGAGTTTTGGTTGCCGAGCATCCAACTGTTGCCGTTTTCTGTTTGGTAGTTCGTGGTGCTCGTAATAGAGCTGACTCCATAATTGTTCATGCCCGGTCCCATGCTACCATTACTAAAGGTTCCATAATCATATGAGGTACTAGACCGTGGAGGCCAGTTAGCAAAAGGATCCAATTCTTCAAAATTTGATGGCAATGATGTTCCTATATTTAGTTGCCTCTGGCCATTGCCTCGATCTACATTAACAACTGAAGATGGTCGAGGAGGCCACTCGATGTCAATCGGAGGACACGAAACAGACGTTTGCTGGCTAGGTGCAGTAGGCATCAAGGAAGATTGAGATTGTCTATGTGCTGATTGAATCGACTTATCACCCAGAATCGAGTGAAAGGATAAATCGTTCTCGGAAGGCTGGTGGGCAGTGTCACTGGCATTGCCAGCTGCTCCGGTATTAGGAACCCAGTCTTCATCCCATTCTGGGCTGCTTTTTGCAGAAGCCACAGTTCCATTTGCTTTGCCCAAGGCTTGAGATTGAAGCCCATTGGCAGTAGTAGCATGTTTAACCTCTGGGATTCCACAATCGGTTAAAGTAACACCCCATTTTTCTTCTTTCTGAAAGAAAACAACATTAGGGATCACATCATCTTCATAAGAAAATAGTAAAAGAATAGTAGAACTAATTGTTACGAATCAGAGAGAGAGAAAGAGAGAAGAAAAAATTCATCTTAAATCACGCAGGAGTACAGAGAAATAGGTTCCGAGGAATTCAACAAAAGCATGGCAATAAGAACTGTACCTGAGAATATCCTTGACAAAGAACATATATTTGGCAAACTGCTGAACATTCAACTGTTGGGCCGTAAGCAGAGGTAGGACGTGCTCCGCAGCGAATTCAACTCCATACTAAACAATGGAAAACTTACACAACAAAAAGTCGAGTCTAGTGTTACCTGCTTGAGAATCGAGATTGAAACTCCTAGGGTAGACATAACCGTTGGAGCAGAATGATCAACAGCTGTGCAACGTTGAATGGTTTGCAAGACATCAAGCACAGCCTTTTTATCAAGTGTGTGAATAAACTCTCCTAAGCATAGCAAAGCACTGACTCTGACCTGCTCAAATAAACAAAATGGTTAAGAAGAACATAGTCGAAATTAATAGAAAGAGTGATCTATTTTATTTTTTTGATATCTGGAAATTTTCAAAAGTAACAAGGCCCTCGTTCCACACAATATTTGAGAAACAGAAGTATGTTATGCTTCACTCCATTCCATTGAGCATTTAGAATAATGCTGAATTAGAACAAAAGTTAGAATTTAGATGTCTTCCTAGAAACAACAATGACAGCATTTCACTAAGCTCATTCTGCCTTTTCCATTACACTCAACTTTACGGATGATCTCAATCATTTTAATCTTAAAGGCACGTCTTTTCAGGAAAATAGCAGGGTTTATGCACGACACCCTAAGTTAATCTGTAATTGGTTTATTTATCACATAATGTGTTTTTTTTTTGTAATAGATTGAGTGACATAACAGTCTCATGACATCAAATCTAAAAAGCAAGACCATAATTTTAATTTTAAGCTAAATGCCTAAAAAATCTCATACATACCGCAGAGACAGTTGTTTTAAGACCTAAGCCATGAACTCGAGGCAGAATGACTAGTTTCACAAGCTGAATAGAATAAAGAATGATTGAAACATTAATTTAGTACATTAACATAAGGAATTCCAACGTGAATATAATAATATAAAAAGGAAAGGAAGACAAAATGAAGATGAACATACTCTCATAACCATTTTTTTAAAAAACAATTAAGTTTAAAAAAACAGTTATGATTTTATTTTGAAAAATTAACGATTTTGAATTAATTTGAAAATTTTGAATTGGAGTCGTCATCGGCCTTTGGGTTAGGCGGTGGCGACAGTGGAGGGTAACTAGGGCTTCAGGCCCTATACATCATCGAGACCGTTGGATTTGGACCGTTGAATGGGTCATATCAGAAACCCTAGCCTTAAGTGATCTGGACTGTTGGATAGGTCTAGATCTAAGGGCCATCATTGAGCGGCGCTGGAAAATATCATCAGAAACCCTAATATTTTTAAGGTTTTGGTAAGTTGGGTCGGGTCGGTTCAGGGCTTCGGGTCATGCCTTGGTTGGGTCGGATGGGTCTCGAGTTTTGTTGTTGGGTCGGGTCTTGTATCTGAGTTGGTCTTGTAACTGGATTCTGTTTTAGGTTGTTTGGGCTTTGGTTGGGGCCTACAAACAATGTAAATTAAATTGTTAATTATTATAATAATAATAATACTAATAATAACAATAATAATAATAATACTAATACTAATTAATAATTATAATAAATATAATAATAAATAATAATAATAATAATTAACACCCGAACAAAAATTAGTGTCTATAGCTACCCCTCTCTGCACATTCTTATGTTAACAAGAATAAGGTAAAGATTACAAGACACCAAGTTTTTGTCTGGTTCTCCCTTTGGCTTTGAAACTTGATATGTTTGTTGTAGATGACGTTTTTCCTTCTCGTTGAGGAAATCGGGTTAATAATGAGACAATTTGTTGCTAAGGACAACACTGCTCATACGTGATGAAGAGTTCTGACCGTTTTTAGGTAAATTTGGAGATAGCACGTTTCCTACGTGGTGAAGAAATCTGGTTATCTAAGGGTGACACTGCTCCTACGTGATGAGGAGATCTGGTCGGTGGATGACATTGTTCCTACGTGATGAGGATGTCTTGGCCATCTTTAGGGATAATGGAGATAACACGGTTCCTACGCAATGAGGAAGTCTGGTTATTTAAGATTGGCACTACTCCTACGTGATGAGGAGATATGGTCGGTGGATGACACTGTTCCTACGTGATGAGGACGTCTTGTCCATCTTTATGGATAAGTAGAGATAACACGGTTCCTACGTGATGAGGAAGTCTGGTTATCTAAGGTTGATGCGGCTCCTACGTGATGAGGAGATCTGGTCAGTTGATGATGATTGATTCATTGCCTTAATAATGAGATAGGTCTTGAAGATCATGTTAAAAAATAGTCATATTCCATGATTTCATGTTTGCAATATGCCCTAAAGATGAGCTAAATGCATGTTTAAATGGTTATGCACAGTTCGATCCTGACATTTGGGACTTCTCATGCTCTTTGATCAGAATATGTGAGATTTCTGCGTTTGCCAATGTCTGGGTTTTGATTGCGGTTACTTTCTTAACCTCTTGTTAAATATTCTTTGACTTGGTTTCTCTGATCTACCTCGAGAAAGTTTATCTTGCCTTGTTGATTCTTTGGCCACTGATTGATTTTCTGTTCGAGAAAATTCGATCAGAATGGCCTCTCCTTTTGTGCATCTTTAAATTGAGACTTATTTGCATGGGACTTCTTTGCTTGGGAAATGTAGGGTTATGTTGAAACTTATTTTTTTGATTTAAACCCTCATTTTTTCAATGATTTGCTTAATGATTTAGGGAAGCGTATCTTTGTATGTGTTATCTGATAAACACATGTTTTGAAATCCCCATACTCTGACACTTTTCAAAGTAAGGCATAATAATCGATATTGTTATTGATCAATATTTTGGTGAGTATATACAAGGACAATGAATCAAATTCGAAATTTTCATTGAGAAAAGGCAATAAGAAAGTACAATCTTTTGGAACATGAAACAAGTAAACATTACATGAAGAATAAATGATAAATACAGTGGATATCAAGTGTTGAGTCCTTCTATTTCCTCACCCCAAATATTTTCTGAAAGTTGACATGTGTCTTGAAGATTCAGATCCTACAAAAGATGTGTGAGTCTGAGAATCTTTCCCTTAACTGTTAGGCTTTCGAGGGAATTTGCCATTTCAAATCCTGAATATTCAAGCCGTCCATTACGGATTTCCAACTCGAATCATCATTTGGTTTCAAAACGTCTATTTTGGGTTTTCATCTTGAACCCCCTTATTTATTTTTTCTTTTTCTCCTTTTTCTTTTATTTTTTCTTATATTTCTTTTTCGTTCTTTTTCTTTTCTCTTCTTTTCTCTTCTTGTTTTTTTCTTTTTTTCTTTCTTCTTCAAGTGTAATATCGTTTGACTGAATCAGAATTCACAGGATTAGGCAATTCTTCTCCATCTATTTATGTCAAAACCAAAGCTCCTCCTGAGAAAACTTTTTTTTTACAACATAGAGACCTTTCCAGTTTGGCATTCACTTCCCTTTAAAGTCTTTTTGAATAAGGAGGATATTTTTAGCACTAAATCACCTTTATGAAATTCTCGAGGTCTGACCTTCTTATCATAAGCTCGTATCATCCTTTTTTGGTATATCCGGCTATAGAAAATAGCTCTCAGCCTTTTCCCCTCAATCAAATTCAACTGATCAAACCTACTTTGTACCCAATCAACCTCGTCTAGTTACAATTCCATTAATACACTCAGAGAAGGGATTTCTACCTCAACAGGTAAAACTGTTTCCATCCCATATACCAAAGAGAATGGTGTTGCCTTAATAGATGTACGAACGTACGTGCGATAAGCAAGCAGCGCAAAAAGTAATATCTCATGCCAGCCTCTATATGTTTCGGTTGGTTTTGTGATGATCTTCATGATATTTTTATTTGATGCCTCCACTGCCCCATTCATTTTTGGGTGGTAAGGAGCCAAGTTGTGATGTTTGATCTTCAACTTCGTATAGACTTCCTTCATTATGTCATTGTTCAGATTCAATGCATTATCTGTAATGATCATTTCAGGTGTTTCATATCTAAAAATGATTTCTCTTTTTAGGAATCTGTAAATCGCTCCTTTTGTGACATTAGCGTATCAGACAGCTTCGACCCATTTGGTGAAGTAGTCGATGGCCAGTAAGATAAAACGATGTCCATTTGAAGCCTCTGGTGAATTGCCCCAATGACATCAATGCCCCACATTGAAAATGGCCAAGGTGTGTTCATTACATGGAGTGGTGAAGGAGGAACATGTATTTGGTTATCATGGATATGGTATTTATGACATCTTCGAGCAAATCTGATACAATCTCCTTCCATAGTAGACCACTAGTATCCAAACCTCATGATTTGTCTAGCCATGGTGAATCCATTAGCATGTGTTCCACAAATCCCTTCATGGACTTCTTCAAGTATTTTCTTGGCCTCAATTCTATCCACACATCTCAAAAGCACATGATCTTTGCCTTTTTTATACAAGATATCCCCATTGTTAGTCTTCTTAAAGTTTGTTTTTCATTTGCAGTTGCTTGTATAATTGTTCAATAGTTGATGTACTATGCTATAAATTAATGTTTGAGTGTTGAATTTTAAGTTAGAATGTGAAATTGGATCATTTTGAAAGCTTGGTAAGTTAGGTGACTAATTTGAAAAATTAGAATATTTTAGGGAGTTTAAAGATGATTTTGAAATTTTAAATGGACTGAGTTGATAATTATTTCAATGCTGGAATTTTAGTTTTAAAATCTGATTGGGTAAAATGGTGAAGGGTCATTTTACATAAATTGGAAAAATATAGAATTCATAATTAGTAGTTAAAGTGTAAAGTTAAAAATGTTATGTGAAGTTTTGATGGAATTGGATAAAAAGGAACTTGATGGTCAATTTTAAGTGTTAAGTCAACATTGACGTTATGATATGAAATTAGTATCGATTGAGCATCAAAAGATTTTTAAAGAATTTATTTTCTATTATGTGCCTATGTTAGTAAAATTCTGAAATATGGTTTAAATTTATATATGTTTTTTAATGATGGTTACTTAGATTGCGTGCTTGAAATCAATATAAAACATTATTAAAGCTAAGGAGAAGCTTAAGGATGAAATGTGAATTTCTAAAGAAGGTTTACAAGCTAAGGACACTAGATGAGTGCATATTTAATTTGTATTTATGTTATCGAGCAAACATTGACTTGTGATGAGCTAATAATGGATTTACTATGGTAATAAGTGACTCCTAATGTTGTGTGATTTTGTGATTTATGCATATATGTGCATTTGGTGAGCTAATAGAATTACTGAATAAGATAAAAATGCAAATTGGTGAAATCTGCCTAGATTTGTGTTCTGAATAGTAAGTTTAGAAAATCACCATAAATTCCATATATATTATTAAAGGATGATTTTTATACCATTGGATTCTTATATCAGTATAGTTTCATTTAGAACAAACAGACTATGATTTCGAGAAGTATACAAAAATATATGAATTTTTAACCTTTGATAGGTCAGAAAACAAGGTAGCAGATTCTGTTCAAAACAACTTCTCAGATTTGAAAATTTACTATAAATTATACAAGTTGAACTAGAAAAAATGCTTATATGGTTAGATTTTTATTCGAGTATAGTTTCTATTGCTATAAATATAATAATTTTTAAATGTGTATTAATACAAAATAATATTTCTTTGAAGATAGTGCAAACTGTCAGTATGTGGAATTTATCATAAATTGTGTTTTCATGTTATTTTTTTGTTATATACTATTATAAATGTTCGAAACGAGACAAATTTATTATAATTACCATGATGTTTATGATATTTATTACATGATGAATATGATGTGCATATGTTCAAGAAAGGTATTTGACGATGACCATGATCTATATATGTTATGTGGAAATGAAATGTTTAGGGTATAAACTGTCAATTATGTTATTGATAACTCCGTAAAAATGTCATATTTGAGACCTTTTCACTTAGGTTATTGACTATCTAAGAGCCCATTTAGGATCATATAGATATATTTAGGAGCATATAGTTGCATGTGGTGAAATTCTGTTTGCCGCGACATTTTATTTTGTAATCAATGCTGCTTTATGGGGAAGATGTTTGTTTGGTGATGTGCAGGATTTGGGAGCAAGGAAAAGCAAAAGGGAAATGTTGTGACATAAGGAGACTGCTGAGCATAATGCAAATGTCGAACCAGATGTTATTTCGAGAGCGAACAAAGCGAAAGAAGATATTTTTGGAGCTAGTTGTCCCTATCTTCACGTGATCTCTACACGTGAGGAAACACCTGCCTAAAAGGACCAGCGCTGCTGCAGCTGATCCTGCCGGACCATGCCATGTTGCTGATCCTGTCGGACTGTGCCCTACTGCAGCTTGATATTGTCGAGTACTCAGCCAGCCATCCAGGCTGGACCATTGTTAACTGTCCAGGGGGACCACTGCCAGCTCTGCCCAACTCTCACGTGAATTAAGCATGATTTGGGTTATCCTACGAATTTCAACACAAATTCCTAGGTTAAATCTCTCCCTATAAATAGAGGATGAAGCCACAATGGTAGAGGATTTTTACACACGCCGCCTAAGCCAAAAGATTCAGAGAAAAAGTTCTCCACCAATCCTTTTTACCGTGACATTTCTCCATTGACAAGCTAGAGGGAGTGACGTTCTAGGCGTCCGAGAGGAGCTAGTTAACTGGGATAGTCTGTGGTGGCCGAGAGAAGCTCCGACAGTGCACGTCGAAGGCTTTTCCTCATTCTCTTTGATCTTTTCTTTCATATTTTATCATTTGGGTTGTAAGGAACGAATTAACTTGCTTTGTGCTTGCTTATTTCGAACCCCACCATGAACTAATCCTATTTGGTGGGAGTTCATTTTGGATATTTAAGATTTAGTTTAATGAATGGTTATTTTTGTATGTTATTATCTGTTTTGTTTATGGATCTTAGTGTCTTAAGGTTGTAAGAGCTATGAGAGTAGACATTCCTTAGGAGATTACTTAGTGTTCGAGAGAATGTCTAGGTAGAGCATCCTTAGTGTTCAAGAGAAACTAGGAAGGAACCACATAAACAAGGGGTTCTAGATAGTAACTAGGCCTAATCCACCTTAGAGATAAGGCTAGGATTTCATTCGACTAAAAGGATTTGTGCATGAACGATAGGTTAGATGTTAATGCTGAAGTAAAAAGGTATTATCGAGACATATCATGTTATCTGGACCAATAGGATCACTACAGGGATAACACCAACCGGTTTTGCCAAGGCATCTTCAATCTGTCGAGTCCCTTAACTAGAGATAGCATAGGGCACTCTTAGTAGACTCTTTCAGGTAGAAAAGGCATAGAAGTAAGACCATTTTGAGAAGTAGACTTAGATTTTCCTAAGTGACTCATATCACTCATTCCCATAGTAGCTTATCGTGAGAGAAAGTTAAAGTCCTAGTAATCAAATCCAACATTTACATTTTATTTTGCCTTTACATTTTCATTTGTTTTTACTCAACACAATATAATTTGCCAAGACATTTCCATCCAATTTTCCACAACATATCCATTTGCTATCATATTACCACCATTCCATTTCCACAACATCCATTTCATTTTGCCACAACATTCTCATTTTTACATACCATCACTAACTTTACTTAGGTGACATCATTGTATTACTTGTTCGATTGTGTATACTTGCACATATTTCCGCAACTATATATAGTACTCACACCAGGTCAGACAATTATGATATGAAAAGTTGGATATGTTGATATATTGATATCTTTGACAATTCAACAACATAATAATTAATGGAAAACCCCATTGTATGTTGTATTGAGAGTCATAGGTACACTTGGCATGTCAGGAAGTTGAGTAAAGTTCAAGTTAAGTTAAGTTATGGTACATTCGTGTACATTACCTATGTCACCATTGGTACATATGATATGATTTGCACTTGGAGTGCATCTTATGATGATGATGATTGGCATTGAAGTGCCTAGTGCGCACATTATGTATGACTCACGTATCTTGCATTCTCATAAATATGGATTGGGCTATGAACTTGAGAGTAAGCTATGAATTTAAAAATAAGCTATGAATCCAAAATTAAGCTACGAATTTGAAAGTAAGTTATGAACTGGGAAATAAGTTTTGAATTTGAGAATAAATTTTGAAATGAGAAAGTAATGGTTATGAAATGAAATGTGAAAAAGGAATATGCAAGTGAAAGATGAAAATAACTTACTTCTGAAATGTTTATGAATGAAAAAACGAATATGATATGATTATTATGTATGATATTGTTTATCATGGTTTTGATAAAATCATGAGATAATGATTTTCAGGTTTCCAATGGGAAAAATGGCTTAAATAAATCGGTTTGACTATTTAATGATTTTATTTGAATTTAAGTTAAATGTTTAAATTATTATGACATTTTTAAGTTTTATATAAGCGAATATATTGTTTAAATGTTATTAAGTTGTTTTAATATTTTATATCACTTAGTTTGTTCATTATGCATCACAAAGTTTATACTTAGCGTGTGATTATTTTCACGCGTAGGTAAAGAAGAGCAAGTTTAGTAAGGAAGTTGAGTAGGCATCAATTAACAAAGAAAAGTTACATATATCCGTAATGACATCCTACTTTTTTTAAAAAAAACTCTAGATGACATGTATACGAATAAGAAATATTTATAGTAGGATTATCATGGAAGCAAATACAAATCTCATCCTTACGTTTTAGATAAAAATTATATTTTATTAGAATTAAGAAATATTTTGAAATTGGACAGTTTTTAAACAGTATCTTTTAGTACATCATTACTAAAACTTATGACTAAAATCAAGTTTGGTTTATATGAAACTTTATTATATTTTGTTTTTATGCGATTAAGTGATTTTAATAAGAAAGCTATATACATAAATGTTAAAAAAATAAAATTTTACGGATTTTTAAATATTATATGACATAAAAGTCAGTTTGACACCTTTAACTCATACGTATATGAGTTAAAGGTGTTACACAAAAGGGTTACTTACTGTTTAATTTGGAGACTCACACTTTCTTTGTTATTAGGGATATAAACTTTCATGAGGATGTCTTTCCTTTCCATTTTCCTATCAAAAAGCAGTCTTGTTTCTTTCCTCAACACTCCATTGTTTAAGATTCTGATTTTTTGGTCATTTCTGTTATTCGAACATCTTCTGAGTCATCTTCTGATTCTGTCCCTCCTATTGTTTATGCACCATATAGTCCTTCCTAGTCACTTACTGTTCATGAATCACCTATTGTTTCTGTTCCTGAGTCACCTACTGTTTCTATTCATGAGTCCCCTGTTGTTTCACCTAATTTACCCTAGTCATCTATTGTTTCTATTGTTCTTGAAGTCAATCCTTCTACTTTGACTACTGTTTCTTGTTCGAATGTCTTTTCGAGATAAAAAGCCACCTACTTGGTTACACGACTATATGTCTTACCTATCTTTTTCACTTTCAGGTACTTACCCTATTTCTGATAATATTACTTATGCTCATTTACCTCTTCACACTCAACTTTTTCTTACCAACACTCCTCATTTAACTGAGCCTCAATCTTACCAAGAAGCCCTTAAAAATCCTTTATGGGTTACTGCTATGAAAGAGGAGATTTTAGCTTTGGAGTCAAATAACACATGGTCATTGGTTTCCTTATCACCTGGGAAACAACCTTTGGTTGTAAACGGGTGTATAAGTCAATCACAAGGCTGATAGGAGTGTTAAATTTAAAGCTCACTTGGTGGCTAAAGGTTACACCCAAATAGAATGTGTTGATTATGTGGAGACCTTCTCACCTGTTATTAAGCTCGTTACGGTTCGGACCATTCTTGCCTTTGCATCCATTTACAATTGGCCTCTTATTTAACGCATTTCTTCAATGTGACTTTCTTGAGGAAGTATATATGACTTTGCCAGCTGGTTTTGGCAGCCAAGGGGAGGGTAAGGTATGTTGGCTGCACAGATCCTTGTATGGGCTCAAGCGGATTTAAGGTAGTGGAATTTGAAGTTGACCGAGGCTCTCGCGGTTGCTGGTTACAAGTAGAGTAAACACGATTACTCACTTTTCACTAAGGTTCGTGGGAAAAAAGGTCATCATGCTCATATACGTCTATGACTAGTTAATCACGGGGAGTGACGCTGAATTGATCCGAGAACTTAAGGGAATTTTAAATGAGAATTTCAAGATAAAAGACCTCGGCGAGTTATGAATTTTTTTTTTTTGGTTTTGAAGTTTTAAGATCAGACAAAAGAATTGTTCTGAATCAGAGAAAGTATGCTCTAGAATTGATAGGGGATACTGGGTTAGGGGGAGCTAAGCCTGCTTTAACTCCCTTAGAGCAGAATAAAAGGTTTACTTCTTTGGAGTTTGATGAAAGTTAGAAGTTGCTGGAGTTGAAAAACTTCAAGATAAAACTGATTTTCATAGGCTTGTTGGAAGATTAATTTATCTCACGCATACAAGGTTTGATGTATCTTTCGCAGTGCAAGTGCTGAGTCAATTTATGCAACATCCCAAAGCTTCACATCTAGAAGCATATTTTAGAATAGTAAGATATGTGAAAAAGAACCCAGGTCATGGAGTCTTCTTGAAGTCATATAGTCAATGCCAACTTAGAGCTTTTTGTGACTGGGACTGGGGTACTTGCCTTATGACAAGACGCTCAGTAAGTGGTTTTTGTATTAAATTGGGTGATGCTTTGATTTCATGGAAGTCAAGGAAACAGAATACAATTGCTAGGTCTTCTATCGAGACATAGTACAAGAGCATGGCTACCACTGCTGCGGAAGTTGTTTGGTTGTGAGGGCTTCTAATGGAACTGGGGGTAAAAGGACAACAACCAAGATGATGTGTGACAATAAAGCGACACTGCAGATAGAAGCAAATCCTGTCTATCATGAGAGAACGAAGCACGTCGAAATAGATTGTCACTTTGTGCGAGAAAAAAAATTCAAGGACTAATACAGACTGAACATGTGAGATCTGCGGAGCAACAGGCAGACATTACGACCAAAGCACCGTGTTCAGCGGCGTAGTTATTTAATTTTCAAGTTGCGGTTAATTGATGTCTTCAACCGCCAACTTGAGGGGGAGTGTTGAGAAGGTTAGTTTATTGTTGTAAAGCAGTTTGTTAGTTACAGATTAGTTAGAGTCAGTTTTCTTTCTTGCCACAGCATAAGTAGAGTTGTATTGTATTTTCTGAATTGTGAATAAAGTCGTATGAAATTTTTAAAGTGTATTTTTTAACACTGACGCTCGCTTAACCATCGACCTCAACTCTCATTTCAAATCAAAAGAAAAGAAAACCTACAGCCGTTGTGACCCATTGTTCAACAAGATTCAAATCTAGAAATTTAAATATGCAAACACTACAATAAATTACCACACATCAATATATTCACAAACACATAGTTCGAAAGAGGTTTCGAAAATCTATTGATAAATATGTTTTTTTTAAATCGTAATGTGTTGTATTAGTGAATAACTTAAAATAGAAAACAAACCACTAGTTTAAATATTCGTTTCAACCATTACCCTAGCTTTTAGGGTATTAGATTGATCCATACATGGATTTATAAACTAATGAGCAAAATATGCCAAGGGTCCAACGAATGCAGCATTAATGTATGTAGCAGGCTCAGAATGGGCATAATCAGAGCGATCATCTGGGAATCCATCGTTCTGATTCGGGCCTCCAACCACGGCTCCAACTAAAACGTTAGGATTCGGGTTCGGTGAGTAGAAGAACGGCTGGAAACCAGCATCGCATCCAATGCTCTGAGGGTGCCTTGACAAGGAAGGCAGTGAAGAACCTCTGTGGTGAATTCTCTTTGGGAAATTGGGTCCAAAGCCGACCATGTAGGACATTTTAATTGGATTCTCCCCCAGTATGTAATCCACTTGTCTCCTTGCAAGTCCAATAAGTTTATTTGGAGTGACAAAGAGACTGCCACAGTTAAAGGTCTGTTTTCTGGCTTTCATGTACTTGCCATATGTGGTGAGTAAAAATGTTATGGATGTAACATATTCAAGGTTGCTCTCAGGTAGCTTGTACATTAGTCCTCCTGCATTTCAATTTATAATCACTTCAAAACAAACGAAAGCTAGCATGTACTGATAGAATATAAAATCCTCAAAATTACCTTGTGTGTATTGTGTGGTTGAATAAGGAGAATTGGGTAAAATTCTACACATAAAACTCTCGGCTTGTTGCTTGAATTGCTCAAAGTTTTTATCATTGTCCAGCAATGCACGCTGCAAATAATTGATTGAAAATAAACAAATTGAACTTGAGACACATATATAAAGGGAAAATTGGTTGGAAGGCTATAAAGTTAGTTACCCTGGATAAAAGAACATAAGCACCAGCATATTTGTTGTCCCAGCTGAAGATGTCAGGTTGATCATTAGCTCCCAATGTTTTCAAGAAATTATAGTAATAAGCATCATTGGTTGCCCTCAACAACCATGAGGCACCCCAGAGCAACTCATCCTTATACCCAGAGTATGAGCAGTAAAAAGGGCAGACAGCTGACCCAAGTGAGTCACTGTATGCACCACGATACTGAATGGCAAACGCCATTACTTTTCTTGCTGTTTGAAGCAACAATTTCGAGTATTTGGAATCCACTTTCCGGAAAACCATGGAGGCAGCTGCCAATGCAGCAGCTGTCTCGCCAGCAACATCCGAGCCGGGGTTGCTTGCGGAGACAGAGTACGCAGTTCGGACAGTATTCATGTCCTCAGGACGCTGCCAGCACTTGTGATCCACATTGGGGTCACCAACACCTACGTAGAGCTTCCCAGGCTTGGCTCTGGCACATTTCAGAAGATAATCGGTCGCCCAGCGGATTGCAGCCCTTGCATCCTGTAACTGGGGACCCATTCTCTTTCCATATTCAAGGGTGCTCCATGATAGCATTGTGGTGGTGAACGCCATTGGGAAGTTAAACTTCACATTGTCTCCAGCATCGTGGTAGCCTCCGGTTAAATCTACCTGAACTCGACATAAAATGCAAATTAGTTCATCATATCTATTTGCAGAATATATGTGCATGGTGACCAAAAATAAAACTGAGAATAAGCAACATACAAGGTCAAGGGAACCATCAGAAAGGCCAGAATTTGACCTCCAAGAGACCTGCTGGTTGGCAGGCAGCCTCCCTGACCTCTGTCCCTGGAAAAAGAGAAGCGATTTGAGCAGTGCATCTTTATAATTTGGATTTCCCTCCGCACCAACACTACTTCCTAACAGAATAAGTGCCAGTGAAAACATGGACAAGAAGAGTCTGCTCCCCATTGCTTTTGCATTTGGTACTTTTTATTTGTCCAGGGTTTAGTTGGAAAATTGCATGACCATTTATAGGAGATTTGTGCTCAAATCTAAACGGCGCAAAATCAGGCTTTTATACAAAGAATCAATAATCTTTATTGTTGATTAACATCTCTTCCATTTTAAGAAAAACAGATGTTTATTTAAAATAAAGTTGAAAGCTGAAACATCTTGTTGTGTACATGTCAACACACTGATATCGAAGATATAATGGCTTCTGGGTGATTAATTGCTTTGTTTTATCATCAGTTGACTAATTGGAATCTTTCCCATTAACACTCTTTCTTCCGGTTTTTTCAGACTATTACTTACTTTGACCCTACTCTTCCCATCTCTATCTTCTTCTTTTCCTTCAGCTCCATGTGTTCAAGGAGATTACAAACACAGTTTTCATAGATTAAACATCATGTGAAAAAATCAAATAAAGAAAACAAAATATAAAGAGGTTAAAAGAAAATTTAACCCTCAATGTTTATAATTTTAACAAACTGATCCCTCAGTTTTTTTTATTTTTAAAAATGCTGTTTTTTACGTACTTTGTTGAGAAAACATTGAAGTTCGGTATAAACGGATTCCAAATCAACGCATTAAGACAAGATTGGAAAATGTAGGGCCAATGCGCAGATTAATGGATTAGAAAAAGTGGGGCCTTGGTTTGTTTTCATGCAAAGGCTCATCCTCGGTAAATGGGAAAGCGAAACAAAAGTAGAAAGAATGATGATTTTGTGGTGCTAATTGGCGGAAACTGGGCTTCGTGTTTCGCTAATGAAAAAAGGGGAGGCATGAGCGTGATTGGACGCCGCGTTCTTTGGGCGTCTCAACCAAGGATCGCGCAAGGAATTCGGCGCGCCAAACTTCATCAATAATTCATGAAAATGGTTAATAACGGTTACACTTGATGATTATAATTTTATACATAATGGTTACTGACGGCAAAAGGTGAGATTGAATCAGATTTTTTTTAATCTCAACTTGACTCGAATATATATATTTATATATATTTCATTTGAATTTGATATGATTTAAAGAATATATATTCTCCACCAAACCCGATCCGATCTAAATTTTTAGAATATAAATCTGACTCAACCCAATCCGATATAAAGTAAGGACTGAATTAGCACGAACTCAGTAGCCTCTGTGGTGAATGAATTGTTGTTATTCATAAGGACTCGGGTTCAAGCACCATAGATGCTAGGGGTGTGACTGTTCAATGTTGAAAGATTGAGAGCTATCTTCGAACAGATTGCCTTGTACTTACCCCCGATTATTAAAAAGTTAAGGACTTAATTAAAAAAATAGAAAATAGCTGACCCTTATTCCCATATGTAATGGGGTAAGGAATTAAAAAAATAGAAAGAATAGTATTATAGCAATTATCCATAAATTTATTTGAAGAAATTAAATTATTATCCTCAGATCGAGTTAGATCAAGTCAGAGTTTTTTCACCCTCCACATCAACCAGATCCAACCCATCCTCATTCATTTATAAAATTTGACTCTTCCAGACTAGAATATATTTTTTTTAAAGAAATCTAAGTTTATTAGATCAGATCATATAAAAATACTCAATTTCAAATTAAATTATCATCCTAGCTACATTAGCCATGACTTCATATTTTTTGAAATATAAATCAAAGATATATTATAAATTTTTAAATATAATAAAAATTGTAAGATTTTTTTGGGGTTCAATCTGGCTTTGATTTCATTCCATTCCTTTGATTCCTTATCTTTTTCTACCGTACTTTACGACCAATCTTCCACGTCTTTAATTAATTCATTCCTCCTCTTCTTTGGAATTAAATAACCTTTATAAAGAGCAACAAGGGGATAATCATTCATAGATATGGACAAGTAACATTTGATTCGATTTTGAAAATTTAACTTTTTAATTTGATTTGAATTAATTTTAAGTTGTAATTTTATAAATTCGATTTGATTCAAGAAAATTTCAAATCCAATTCGAGTTATGAAATGTAACTCGAATAACTCAAAATTTTTAGTAATTAATAGATTGATGTTTAAATTCAAGTTTATCGACTCTGTATGATATATGCATATCACATATGAAAAAATATAAAGAAATATATATGTATTGTACATGATTATAAAAAATATTTAAATTGTAATCAAATAGTACCATAATTTTATAAATATTTGCAATTAAATTTAAACAAAAACTCGAACAATTTGACTCGAATTGAATTTTATAAACTAGACTCAATTCCAAGAAAAAAGTTGAATAAAATTTGAGTTGTACAATTAGACTCAAATTTGAGTTGTACAATAAGACTCGTCAACTTAAATAACTCGAAATTTTATGACTCAACTCAATTCGATCAAGCGTTCACCCCTATTCACAAGAACATGCTTTTCCTTTTTTTCTTATTATTTGTTTAATCTTATGGTTAAATAGTAAAAAAATCCGCATAACTACACTAATCTAAAATTAAACTTTAAAAATCTATTGAGTGACTTCAGTGTGATAAAGGATAATGTTGTTCTTTATAGAGATTTTGTATTCGAGCAATTATGTTTGCAGAGTATGTATACATTATCAATATACTAAATAAACACCTAAACAAATATTACTTTATAATCTCTTCAAACTGTTTAAAAAAACTTTAACTTTTTATATTTAATAAATAATTAAATGTTTGTAATTTACTCAAAACTTAAATTACATGTTTTTTAATAGAAATTAATACACATTTTTTTTATCAAATAAGACGTAAATCATAAAGATTAAATTATAAAAATGAAACACTGGAATATGGAATATAGTTCTAGACACTTGACTGAGTACATTGCATATAGTGCATATGGTGCATATGGATATGCTTAGTTTCCCCCCCCCCCCTCAAACTGCTTAGATGCAAGGCAAATCATCTTTGGCGACGGTTATATTATTATATATTGTCATGTTAGCTTGCTTGAATTTGGAATGTTCATTAGCTTGGTCTACGCAGAGTCACATTTACGTGATAAGTTTAAATCAAACTACAAGTGACATTTGATTCTCAAATAGTGACTTGGATTCTCAAGTAGAGGCATATACACATTAACTTAGACCGATCATACTTTAGACTAAAACCAAATTGAATGATGTTGAATCTATTTATAGATCAATTCTCTTGTGACATTCAATTTATGTTTAATTTTAATCATATGTAAGTAATCTCTTCGTATATATAACTTGTATGCTTTGATGTACTATAGGCTAAAATTAATGATACGAATATAGAAAAATAGTAAGTCCATATATTACTTTGCATGGTGTATCATTACTTACATATATAAAAAAACATAATGATCGTTGAGAGTTAATAATATTTTCTTAAATGTATTATATAGTGTATAATAATAGATATCAACAATAATAAAGAGAAAGAAACACCAAACTTTACATGAGAATCTTAAATAAAAAAAAACTATGGATAAATGAGGGGAATTTTGCTATGTCGGAAAAGAGATTATAACAGGATTATCACTATGCATGATTTGAGGGTTAATTATTTCATATCTAACCTCTAATATTTAGTATATATTTATAGGAATAAGTATTTGAATACAATATAACTTGCATAAAATTGAATCTACTTAATCTTGTGATGATATCGTCACAAGCCATCATCACGGTTCTCCACCCTACTTACTTTATCTATTGGAACATTCGACATGAAATCAGATAGTCAAAGAGTCAATCTGATACCACTTGTCACAAGACTAAAGTTACTTCTAAATAAATTGGGCAACTTTAGGCACAAAGATGAGTTGTATGCCTAAGTTAGACTTCAACTTGACTTAATAATGTCTTAAATACACTTTGTCAGCTTAAAAAGATATAACTAATTGAATGAACGATAATAGAATAAGATAAAGCTTAATATTAGAAGATGACAAGAGAGATTTTTTAGTCGAATGTTCGTATTTATCTTATTTTCTCATTAAATCGATCATGCTAATTGAGGTGGGGAGTCTCTATTTATACAAACATAAACTCTATTGACTAGGATGAAAAATATAAATTCACGAGAAAAGATTCTAATACAACTCGAAATCTACTTTTTATTCTTAAATCTTAATCTCACTTTCTGTTTACTTGATGAGTCGGGTCTTCCGAATATGGGTGTTTTGAATAGCAGCAAGCATAATTCGATTTTGGAGGACTTTTTGGTTTTGAAACGTTGCTCGAAACTCCTCGGAGGCCTATGTTTGCAAGGTTGTCAGACCTTAAATCGCGACCCTAACAGATGCACATTGAGCTTTTTGACCGGATTAAACAGAATTCACAAGATGAATGATCATCAACTTATTCAGCTTAAAGAGAGAGTGTTTGGTTGAAAGCATTTTTACGGTTTACAGTTGTTTGTGTTTGGTTCGGTGGTTATGCATTAAACAGTCGAGTTCAAGAATAGTGAAAAAGAAAACGAACAATCAAAAGCTAGATTTCTGGGTTTTCTTTTTCCAAAATTTCTTTTCCCATAACGCATGGTATTAATAAACTTTTAAAATTTTGTGTTAGCTTTCCAACATGTATTGGATTGCATCGTTCGAAGTTCTGTACGGATCAATTTATAGAAGAATGTCTAGAATCTGAGAAAGCAATACAGGTCAAATCGCAGTGGGACTAGTGAATTCTGTGGCGGCTGGTGATATAGTAGTTGAGTCCAGTGGCACAGCAGTGCCATGGAAGTAGTATGCAACCATGTGCAGAGATTATTTTAGCAGCATCCTGAACAAGGATGGGTAAAGATCAATATAGTTGGTTCTCGATTAGCAGGTAAAGGTTGTGCTCTCGTGGGTAAAGATGGAATGATAGAGGCCCCATTGGTTTCATTGGAAATGTGAAGGTTACCGGACAACCAGGAAATTTAAGTCATTGATGCTGATCTGTTGGATATAATATTATTCATAATGCTATAGCTGTGAATAAAGTTATGAAATCCACCCTATTGAATATTAGATAAAATGAAAAAAAAAAACTCTAAATATAAATCAATACATGAGAATAAAAACAGATTATTTAATTTGATTTTGCTTAACATGTGGGAAGAAAAATTGTAACAACCTTTGGGCTCAACCACACAAGTTAGCCAGCACATATGCCTTGTGCAGTGCCATAATTGATGTGTTTGTTATATAAAAAAAAAGGCATCATCAACCAACGCTTCTAACCGCAGCACAACTTTGATATAAAAAATTAACTAATGACCTTCATTATTCCACAAATAATAGAAACCTACCAACAACTCAACTTTATAAAACATTATTTTCTTAACTGCCCGTCTTTGAAAACTAAATTCATTCACAACTCATTTAACATAAAAAAAATATTAATTTAAAATTGAGAAAATATCACATTTGATATATATACTTTAAAAAGATATCTAATCTAGAATATGCACTTCTAAAATGGTTAATATTATACTTTTCTATTGATGAACAATATAATACTTATATTTTGTTAGAATATCTAATATCATCTTCAAATTATCATTTTGTTTATTATTATCGTATTTGTATAGTATTATTATATTTTTTTTAACCTGTGATGATATACATATATCCTATAAATACAATTACTCAAATTTGAATGGATCGAATCTGAATTTTTAAGGGTGAATACTCAAATCGACCGTGATATGTTTTTGTATCTTAATGATACGTTTTATAATTCATGAAGCCAAATTGGAATATTTACAGAGTAGATATTGGTTGACAAGTGACAACGCAGCATGAAGCTCAATAATTAATGACTTGGTGTGTATCGATTGGTTGGTGATTCTATAGGGACAACAAAGTCTAAACTATAAGTTATTGTCTCCGCGCCATCAACGTAACATCCCCCTTCTCCTCGAACAGAAACAAATTGATTGAACCCACCCGGCGTAGGAAATTGAAGTTGAAGCAAGAACAATGAGGTCCAACGCTAAACCCCAGTCTCCATCTCCCTTCAACACCAAGCTCATTCTCATCTGTTCTTTCTTCCTTCTTTTCCTCCTCTTGGTTTTCGGCACCACTTCTTCCACGTTTTCCACACAACAACGGCGACCGCCGTCGGCTTCCATTGCAGAATCCCAGGTTTCCAACTCAACACCCTGCCCGTCCCTTCCTTCATGCACCAAAGCGCCGCCGTCTCTGGCCACCGCACTCATCCACTATGCCACCACCAACACCACCCCACAGCAAACCTTCAAGGAGATCTCGGTGTCGGCCAGAGTGATAGAAACCAAGTCACCCTGCAACTTCTTGGTCTTCGGCTTAGGCCACGACAGTTTGATGTGGGCAGCGCTTAATCACGGCGGGCGCACCGTTTTCCTCGAAGAAGACAAGGCGTGGATCGATCAGATGAAGCAGAAGTTCCCCGGTTTAGAGTCGTACCATGTCGAATACTCCACGAAAGTTCACCAATCCGATGCTCTGCTGGAGACGGGGACGAAAGAGGAATCGTGCAGGGTGGTGAGTGATCCTAGATCCTCCAAGTGCGAGCTTGCTCACAAAGGGTTTCCGAGTGAAATTTACGATGTGGAGTGGGATCTGATCATGGTGGATGCGCCCACGGGGTTCCACGATGAAGCTGCCGGGAGGATGAATGCTATCTACACGGCAGGGTTGATGGCTAGGAACAGGGAAGAAGGGGAGACTGATGTTTTTGTGCATGATGTGAACAGAGCTGTGGAAGATAAGTTCTCAAAGGCTTTTCTTTGTGAAGGATATCTGAGGGAGCAACAAGGATTACTAAGGCATTTCACCATTCCCAGTCACAGGGCTGGCTCTGCTAGACTGCCCTTTTGTCCTTGATTTGTTACTTCCATTCCTGGTTTTGTTCAATGAATCTGCTTCTTACGCATCATCTTAACTACTCTTGTTGATTACAGTCAAGAACCGAATCAAGTTCTATATGACTAGCTCAACCTATTCTTCAATTATTCTGCGTCTCTCATCTCGATTTGTCTGTAGAATGTGACAAATCGGTACAAATTTATTCTCTCGTTTTCTTATCCCAAATCAGGGGTGGCAGGGGCTTTGGCCCTCTAGTTTGATAAAATTACTACTTCAGTCTTCAGTCCCTATATTTATAAAAGTTTAGTAAATAAATGGTAAGATTCCAATTTGGACCTCCTTAGTTTGGAAAAAAAATTATATTCGGGGATGAACATAAATAAAATTTTAAGGTGGGAACAATTAATAAAATAAATAAATAATCGAAAGACATTCAATTTTTAGAATAAACATGTGTTTTGCGTTTTTTTTAATTTACAAATTTAGTATAGCAATTTTTTAACCCTTCTAAGGTTTCTCTATGCTTCTAGCATTCTTATCTCGGCCGCTTGGTAGTATATACTAAGTTTTCTTAGTTTTGGTGTTTTCTGTGTTTTGGGTGTTCATGTTTCGCGTTTCTTCTTTTGTTTAAAGTGGAGTGTGGTCTGATTAGGGGAGACTAATGGTTGTTTTAGAGAATGATTTTAAGGGATTGAATCTAGATGGGGAGGAAGTGGAAGCGATTGCAATAGTTGGAGATGCGGGGTTGGGGGGAACAAATTTTGAAAATTATTTTGTGGGGTGTTTTATGACTACATGAATGAAAAAATTTTAGGCAATACGAACTATTATGGCGAGTGTTTGGCACCTATTGGAATATGAAGTCTAGAATATACGATTGTATTTTAGAATGTGCAACGTGTGCATGTGCTTCTAGTGTGAGCTGTTATAGTTGTTATGAATATTAGATTCTGTTATGGGAATCTGTTATGGAGTTAGTTTTTGAGTTTGTTAGTGAGATAGAGTAAGCTTGAAGGTAATGGCTCTATATAAGCCGATTGTAATACATATTGTAATCATCTATCTCTAATGAAAATTACAGAGCATTTGTCATTGAGTTTTTAAGCTTTTCAACGTGGTATCTTTCGCTAACGATCTTGGGAGCTCTTTCTGTTCTTTTGCTGCTTAGGAGGTAGTTATGATGAATGGTGATGGTTCTCCCTCGCCGGTGGAGGTTGCGTTGAGAAGCTCTAAAGGCTTCTCCAACAAGAAAGTTAGTGTTGTACTCGATGAAACTAATTTTCTTTTATGGAAGCAACAAATATTGTTAACAGTTCGTAGCCACCGGTTGGAGCGGTTACTGTTGGGATCGTTGCATGTATCACCGATGACGGTTCTTGATGAATCCGGTGAGGTGATAATGAATGAACTGTATAAGGATTTCGTAGATAAGAATAGTGATCTTGCATCCTGGCTACTCTCAATGATCAGTCCGCCTCTTCTTCCACAATTTGTAGGTGCTGAAACAACGTCTGATGTGTGGACCAAGGTGCTGCAGTTTTTTGCTAACAGGTCTACTACTATTGTGATCAATCTGCACTATAAGTTACAATCCCTAAAGAAAGGTGAGAATTCAATGCGAATGTATCTTACAAAAGTAAAGGAGGTTTGTGATGCTTTGGCATCTTGTGGGAGTGTTGTCTCTCAAGCTGTGCACGTTGCTAGCATTCTTAAAGGTTTACCTCGTGATTATCAACCATTTGTAGTTGTTCTAACGGCTATGCGTGAATCCGTAACTCCTGATTCGTTGTACACCATACTGATGGATGCTGAAACACAGTTGGCAGGCTTTGATGACTTCATTAAACCTTTTCCTATAAGCGCTCATATGGCTCAAGGGAAAGTCTCAGGAGAATTTGAAGATCAGTCTGATTCAAGGTCATCTTCTCGACAATCATATTCTCGTGGAAGGTTCTCTGGTCGAGGAAGGGTATGACTAAGCTGCAGTGTCAACTGTGTGGAAAAAATGGGCATTTAGTCGATAGATGTTGGCATCGATTTGATGAAAATTTTCCTGGTATCACTGCTAACAACAACTCTTATTCTAAGGATGGCTCCAGCACAGTTTATTATGCTACAAGTGATAACAAGAGTGCTGGATGCGAATGCTATTTTGTTAAAAGAACTGGGTCAAAGTCTGCAGTACAGTCTAAACCCTCAGCCTCTCGTGAACAATGGGTGATGGATTCAGGTGCTACACACCATGTTACCTCTGATGGTGTCAACATTAGCCAATTTGTTGATCTTGACAATCTAGGTAAACTTCTTGTTGGTAATGGGGTTGCTTTAGAGGTTGAATCCATTGGCCACTCATCTTTGCATTCATCATCTCGATTGTTATTGCTAATCGATTTGTTGCATGTTCCACAAATAACTAAGAACTTGCTCACGGTGTCAAAGCTTGCTAGGGATAACGCTGGTTTTCTCGAGTTTCATGCTCATGGATGCTTTGTTCATGATGAGAAGTCGGGTGCAGTCTTGCTTCGAGGCAGAGAAGATGGTAGCTTATATGTTTTTGGTGTGCAGCCTATAGTTGATAGTGGTACTAGGGCAGAAGTAAATTACTCACAGTTGTCAAAGAATGTCTATGATCTGTGGCATCAGCGATTGGGTCATCCCTCGCATGATAGCCTAGTAGGTGTTTCAAGAAATGAATGTAAAGCTTCCTTCAAGAAATAATAACTCATCTTGTGTTGCATGCCATATGGGAAAAAACCATAAGTTACCATTTACTGATTCTACCTCTGTGTATGATACTCCGTTTCAGCTAGTTTTTACAGATTTATGGGGACCCTTGCATATTGTATCGAATGGCTATAAATATTATGTCACATTTGTGGATGCTTGCACAAGACATTCCTGGCTATATCTACTGCATGATAAGGCTCAAGCCATTGGTACTTTTAAAATGTTTAAGCAAATGTTCAAGACTCAATTTGATTTATCGATAAAGGCAGTCCAAAGTGACTGGGGAGGAGAGTACATGAGTTTGTCAAGGTATTTGCTTAGTTGTGGCATCTCTCATCGGCTAACATGTCCACATACTTCTGAAAAAAATTGTGTAGTTGAACGCAAACATTGCCATGTGATTGAACTTGCCCTTATGTTACTTGCATAAGCCTCAATGCCTTTTAAATTCTAGGCCTATGCTGCTATCACAGCTGTGCATTTAATCAACCGACTACCTACAAGGGTTTTAGAAGGAATATCTCCCTTTGAGAAGTTGTTTCAAAAGAAACTGGACTATAGGCAGCTAAAGGTGTTTGGATGCTTGTGTTTTCCTCATTTGAGACCCTATCTAAAACACAAATTAGAGTTTTGGTCTAAACTCTGTACTTTTTTAGGGTATAGTCCACATTATAAAGGCTTTCAATGCCTTGATGCTACTGGTCGAATATATATATCACGACATGTAGTTTTTGATGAACTACAATTTCCTTTTGCAAAGTTACATGACAGAGCTATTGATGACTCTAATAATTCTGGATCATCTAGTTCTTTACAGATTGTGGCAGATATCAACAAACTCCATAATTTTGTTGCTGAGGAATCCGATCATAATTTGATGACTAACAACAATCAAGTGATGCCATCTAGTACCAGCTCCAGTTCTAGTCTGGTAGCAGCAAACAATAGCCAGATTAAAGCACAAGAAGATGCGACTGATACTTCAAGCAATGCACATGAAGCTGGTATTTTGAGTTGTAACACCCATAACCCGTATAATTATACCTATACAAATTATAGATGTCACCCGAATTTCTAAAACCATTATGAGATTAAAAAGCGATTTAAAATTTATTTTCTTAAAATGATAAATGATATTATAAATAAAATTTCATATCATATAAATCATGTTTCATTATAACAAATTTAATTCAAAGGATTTTTTTATGAATAGTGAATAGTACCCGTAAACAGTAACAGTGAAAAGTGGCGATGAACAATAAGGGAATCAGTTTCCTGTTGGGGGGATCGGTACCCCAAAATCATTCTGGAAAATTTTGTTTAAAATAATGGTTACTGTTCATGCTACAGTAACTTTAGAAAATACATATAAATTCATAAAAATTAACCTTTCATCACTATAAAAATTTCCAAAATTTATTCAACAAATAAATTGAACATTTTCAAATTACATGCCACTATCTAAAATCAAATTCCATTGTAGGATGTCTTACTGATATTGTAATATACATCTCGATGCTTGATATCACTTTGAACTCTTTATTCCGCTTTTTACCTACGCGTGAAAATCATCACACGCTAAGTATATACTTAGTGAGGCAATTAAAACATTTAACAGTACAATACAATTAATGCATGATTTTCAATGTCAAAAATCAATTTCCATAAAATCATTTTACTAACATATCCAATATTTTACCATGATCAAAATAATATAAAATCTCTTACCATTTATCCCATAATCTCGTAAGCTTATTTTACCAAAATACTTACCATTTAAATTCCATAAGCTCGTAAGCTTATTTTATCAATATACTTGCCATTATTCATAAGCTCGCAAGCTTACTTGTATACTTACCATTTATTAACCATTAAACCATAACTCATAGCCCATAGTATAACTGTATGAGGAACCCGATATAGGAGTCAAATATTGCACCGAAGTGCTGAGGTCGAGCTTTGCTCACCTAATAATGCACCTTAGTGCTTGTACCGTGTCTTGGCTAGACACTTTGAGGCCTGCACTATGTGTCTTCTCTAGACACTCTATTACTACCTAATATTGCAGCTGCTAGACTCTATGGCATGCCATTAATACCACTGATCTTCAATAACATACTTGGGCATATAGTCAATTTTATTTGATCCATCCATGGCAAAATATATTATCATAATTTAACAATGGGGCAGTTCATACCCAAAAACATACATGGTAAAATATCACATTTTCCATAATCAATGCATTATAATTTCATACGGTGACATCTCAATGTCATGTCAATTTATAAAAATGACCTAATATCATGCTGATATAAACAAGGTCGACTTATCGCAAGTCTTCCTGATGATGTATAAAATATCCATGTATAATTTCATACATGTATTGCAATCAACTTGACACTTTATAATTTTCCAAAGTTGTGCCTCACTATGTTCCACAATAAACCCTTTATACTTGACTTGCTTCAATCACAAATCAATCATAATCTGTATAAATCACAAATTCATAATGATACATATGTTAGTATTGTACTAACATAAAAATATCCAAAATTAACTCCATAATATATTTGGAACTCATTTTCTACCAAATACTCAATACTTAACAACTCCTTTTAACATTGGAATCAACTTTTCCAATTTACACAACAACCCATCAATTTTCCAGAATTCAGACAACTTGCACTACCTTTAAAGAATCAATATTTTGTATTGATATACACACTGGAATTAAATTCCGTTTCTTCCGTTGAAAAATAGACTCGAATACAAATCTTTCCATATAAATAAATCCTTCTAATTGATGATCTGTACAATTTATGTTGAATTTTCAAAGTTGACCAACAGAATCTGTTTTGCAGAATCTGTTGTCCAATTTTTCTGACATTTCCTTGGTTAAAAATCCATATCTTTTTGTATACACCTTGAAATTGATCCCCGTTTGTTTTAAACAAAACTAGATCAATATATGAACATAAATATATAAAAATAACCTCGAAATTATTTTTATATAATTTCTGGTGAATTTTTGAACCTACTGTCATATTCAAAATCCAAACTGTTTTCTTTAATTTCATTCTTAGGTTCTTCATCAATTCTTACAACAAATTCTTTCAAATCACTTAACTCTTAAAACCCATAAAACACAATAAATAAACCATTTAACATCTCTACAATCAAAACACAAATTTCTCCAACTTATGATTTGGCCGAATTTTGAAGAATTAATTCTAGGAAGATTGAATATGTTATAACCATCAATCAAACTTGAAAATAAATCTACAACCTCTAAAACATCAAGATTCATCATCAATTTCATGATCCCTTATATGAACACAAACCCTTAAATTTAGGATATTTGAAATCCAGCAAAATTAGAAAGCAATATTGGTACCAAATGATAGCATTTTTCGCTTAGATCACTTTCATATCTCACAACATAACTCCAATTCCAAAGGAATTAGCTCAAAATTGAAAATGAAATATTTCTTACCTTCAAGCTTTCTCACGTTCTTGTTCTGGAGAAGATGAACACGTTGGCATGATATATTTGATTGATATCATGCTTATATCCTTTAATTAATCATTTAATGAATTTAAATTTAATGAATATTAAATTCATTAAATTGGTTAAATACCAATTTAACCTTAATGAAACTTTATAATTACCAAAGAACCTATATACTTATTCTTATCTCCATCCAAATCAGAGAAATATCAGCCTTATCATCTTATAATAGTCAAAGATGAACAAATTAGTCTTCCACTTTACCGTTTTTCCCTTGCAATTTTCAAAAATTATAATTCAGTCACTTTAATCAAACAATTCAAGTTAAACATGAAATTAAACCATTAAATATTATTTTCCAACATTTTAAAAATGTGAAAATAATATTTTTATTTCTTATTTTCGTGACCCATTTGTAATTTTTCCAAAATTACATTTTGTCCCTAAACTTTCCAAAGTTTATACTTTGATCACCAAACTTTACCAGATTTATAATTTGGTCATTAAATAAATCCATTTATGGAATAACATTCTTTTTGAGAAAATTACCACTTAATTTCTTAAACTTTTCCAAATTTTCTACTTTGACCATTAAACTTTCAAATTTTCCATTTTGGTCATTATCTAAATTTTTGGGGGTATTACATGAGTGTTGTGCATGATGATGATGCACATGAGGCAACTAGTCTACCACAGTTAGTTGATAATAGTATTCCAAATGCATGTGGTGAATCTAGCACAACGATGAATACACACTCCATGATGACTAGGAGTAAATGTGGTGTGTTTAAGCCAAAACTATATGCCAGTTCGTTTGTTGAGGAAGTACCATCTGATGTCTATACTGCACTTAAATCACCACGTTGGAAAGAATATGTTCAAGTTGAATTCAATGCACTTCAATCAAATAACACATGGACCCTTGTCCGATTACCTGAAGATCGTGCTATAGTTGGTTGTAAGTGGTTGTTTCGAATAAAAAAGAACCCTGATGGGTCTGTTCAAAGATATAAGGCCAGGTTAGTTGCAAAGGGCTATTCTCAAGTTCCAGGTTATGATTTCAAGGATACTTACAGTCCAGTAGTAAAATTTGCAACTTTAAATGTTGTGATTTATGTTGTTGTGGCAAGAGAATGGTCTATTAGACATGTTGATGTCAATAACGCTTTCTTAAATGATGAGTTGGCTGAGGATGTTTTTATGGAACAACCACCTGTTGATGGAAGTGCTCTTGTGTGTAAACTTAATAAGGCATTGTATGGTCTTAGACAAGCACCTAGAAAATGTCATGATAAACACAAAGCAAGTCTGATTCAGTTGGGATTTACTGAATCCAGAGCTGATGTCTCGTTGTTTGTCAAGAAAGATGCAAGTTGTCACATATACATTCTTGTATATGTCGATGATATTATAATTACCGGTGATTCTTCCCTTAGTATTGATAGTGTTGTTCAAAATTTGAGTCAGAATTTTTCTTTGAAAGATTTAGGAAGCTTGAACTATTTCTTGGGAATTGAAGTCAAGCGTACAAAGAAGGCTTTGATTTTGTCTCAACGCAAATATATCCTTGAACTTTTGGAAAGAACAAACTTGTTGAATGCAGCTCCTACAGTTACACTGATGATTGGAGCTTCAAAAATGACTCAGGAAGCAGGTGATTTATTAAATGATGCTCGAGAGTATAGAAGCATTATTGGTGCTCTGCTGTATGTATGTCATACAAGACCGGATATAACATTCAGTGTTAATAAAGCAGCACAATTCATGCATGCTCCACGAGAGTTACACCTAGCTGCAGTTAAAAGAATACTCAGATATTTGGCTGGAACACTAAACTATGGTCTAACGTTTTTCTACAATGGTATATCACAGGAAGTGGTGGCATTCGCTGATGTTGACTGGGGTGGCAGCCTTGATGATAGTAGCTCAGTCTCTGGTCATGCATTCTTTCTTGGTCCATGTCCTGTGATTTGGTGCTCTAGGAAACAGAAAATGTTTTCAAGGTCTATAATGGAGACTGAGTATCGAAGTGTAGCTGATGCAGCTGAAGAAGTAACTTGGATAAGTTCATTGCTTTGTGAGCTTGGTGTTAAATGTCGAAACATGCTTGTTGTGATGTGTGACAACACTAGCACTGTTGCCTTAAGCACTAATCCAGTTTATCATGCACAATCCAAATATGTTGATATGGATGTTCATTTTGTACGTGAAAATGTAGCTGCCAAACAGATTCAAGTTAATTATGTACCTGCAATACATCAATTAGCTGATGGTCTTGCAAAACCGCTAACGAAAGGAGCATTTGAATTGTTTCGAGAAAATATGTGTGTTCTACTGTGTTAAAAGAAGAAAGTGATGAAGCGGGGAGAATATTGGAATATGAAGTCTAGAATATACGATTGTATTCTAGAATGTGCAACGTGTGCATGTGCTTCAAGTGTGAGTTGTTATAACTGTTATGAATATTAGATTATGTTATGGGAATCTGTTATGGAGTTAGTTTTTGAGTCTGTTAGTAAGATAGAGTAAGCTTGAAGGTAATGGCTCTATATAAGCCGATTGTAATACATATTGTAATCATCTATCTCTAATGAAAATTATAGAGCATTTGTCATTGAGTTTTTAAACTTTTCAACAGCACCCAATTGGGAGCGTTGTGATTTTAGAACTAGGGGAGGAGCGGTATGGGATGGAGACCTTCTTGTGATGTAGTGTTACGGTCTTTTTGGGACTCGTATATTGATGTTATTTTTAATACGGATGAGCCCAAAACTGTTAACCCGAGATCCGGGACATTACATGGGAAATATCGATACTCGTTCGGGAGTATCGATACTATTCCTTCATCACAACCTACAATTTCGTGTATGGTATCGATACTTGAGTAAGAGTATCGATACCCATAGGTCAATACTAATACGGAGACAATTAGTATTGGTACCATCGCATATTTTGGGACTAGTAAATAAGGAGATTTTAAATCATAGATGAGGGACCCAATAACACCTTAATTACTCCCAATAAAATATCAAGTGAAAATAATATTACTAATGGACATTTACACCTAAAAACCCTATAACTTAGGAAATCATAAAACTAACCTTGTATGACGCTCATGAAACGAATCGGGCACCCGAGTTACTTTAGTAGCAGGATGAACGATTATATGTTAGAATGTCTGAACACTTAGCTAGTGCACCAGGCACTTCAGTTGCTAACTGGGCGTAGATGCCCCAGACTCGACGGAATAAGTTAGCCGGGTGAATGTTTCCGATGTAGAATTTCGGATCTCACCCTAGGTAGGCTAGAGGGTGTGTATCTCGAAGCATGTAGAATAGTTTGGTGCATTTGGAATTTGTTTTCGTGCGCATGTCCATAAGAGGAGCTTTTGAGGAGTCATCGTGATTTTCGCCTTCCAGACCGGCACTAGCTTTTGAGTATGTCTCGAGTATATTTGTAGTGAGCATGTAATGTATATGAACCCTTTTTATAATTGAGTCATAACTGTATTTTGGGTCTGTTGTAAACTTGATTTGAAATTATTTTGGGGCTCCCGTATTATGTACTTAATTTGCTATTAACATTATAGATGGATTTTCAAATGGATGTTTATGTCGTTTTAAAAGAAAGTTTTTGGGCTAACCACTCATGTGGTTTCGTATGACGCCTTAGTTTGTCAATCTTCATGTCCTACTGGATTAGTCTTAGCCTTTCATTTCTACCGAGATGTGCCAAGATATCAGCAACACTATTGACTTTTTCTTCTGATGTAAGAAATTTTAACTTTCCAAGGCTTTTGGAGAAGTTTACGAATCTGTTGGAGCAAAGCTGCCTCGTGCATGCGAGAACATCGTTGAGAGTGTCTACAACTTCTTTATTGTCCATCTCCTGTTCTTCTCGAATCCCTCTATTCAAGACGATTTCTAAGCCATCAAATAATGCCCAACGTTCAGCATGAAACGCGATGCAACACTCGATGTTGCGATGGAATCCAGCTTGCCATTGACTATTACTATCTCGGGTTAATCCTCCACTCGTTGCTTCCATAGTTCGTGGATCAGCAGCTCCGTTAGTATTGAGTTTGAACTTTCCAGTTTTGACGGTATCAACTTTGCCTCGTGTTTCTGTTGGCTCCGCAGGAGTTCTTGGATATTGAAATATTATAGAAAAATAAGGGTAAACTATTCAAATAGTCACTCGCTATAGAAAAAGTTTTAATTAGATCATTCAACTATAAAAAAAGTTAAAAACAAATCTCTAGACTTGATAAAAGTTCCAAACAAATCATTTTCCATTAGAAATGGCACATAATATACGTGTAACATTAGGGGGAAAACTTAAACCTACACCGTTACACTCCTTTTTAAATACACTAAACAAATTTAAAGATTTATAGTATTTTAAAAAATAAAAATATTATTGTGAAAAAATATTTAATGATTTATAATGAATTCTATAATAATTGTTAAAGTCGTCGCCTTCAAGTGTTGATAACTTTAGTATTGTCGTCTACGCATGTGAGTAGAAAAAAAATACTTGAGGCTAGTCGTTGGCAGTAATTAGTGACTTTGATATGGTTCCAATTTCTTTTTCTTTTTTTCCTGCATCTAGAGGCTAAAATGAAAGAAAATTAAAGTTATAGGGATCAAATGAAATTTTTAGAAATTTTATCTAAAACGAAACACATGATATGTACCATAGCCTCATGTTAATAAAATAATAGATATGGGCGTAAGATTTTATGTTAGGTAGTAAACTTCTAAAAATTTATGAAAAACGAACTTATAAAATTCTGGAAGGACAAAAATATATTTTCAATAAAAAATATATAGAAAATCTAAAATATAAAATAATTTTAAAATTTTAATGGGACGAGCGGTGGATGTTAATACAAAAATAACATAAATTGAATTCAGTATTGATTCAACTGTGAAAGTTGATTCAAATAATTTTAACATATTATTATTACTATAATTAGGGTAAAAAAACATTTTAGGTCAACCAATTATGTTTTTTATTTAAACAATCAATCAATTTTGTGTTTAATAACAAATGAGTCATTTTTTCTCTCTTTAAAAGTCACAAACATATCATTTTATTGTTAAAAAATAATTGCATGTCTAATGTAATAAGATATGATAATTTTTGTCTATAAAGCTTATACATTTTATTAATTTTATCATAATTCAAAATAATTCAATAAATTTAACCATTCATATATTTGTAATTTTTAATTAAATGATATATTCGTAATTTTTAAGTGACGTATTTATTACCAGATACATAATTAAGTGACTTCAATATTTTCTATAGTGTTGGGTAGTTTAAAAAGAATAATTATAATATGTTAAAGAGTATCATGCATTATTATTAATGGAATTGAGCACATATATTGTGTGGGATATGAATGATTTCTTCTTATAAATTATTCATTCGGCTAGCAAATGCAAAACATCTCTGAAACAATTTATGGGTAGAAAACATTATACGGAGGTAATAATATGCATAAAAGAATGCAAATAGCACATGGAAACATTATAAGGAAACTTTTATGATATCATATGTTGGTCTTTCGGTATACATGCAATCTGGAATGATGCATATTTTGTGGTACTTTATATTGCTGAGCTATCTTCAATCGGCTCAAGTGTGTGCATTTCCTAGGCCTAATAATCAGCTAAAAGTTTTCCTTTTTGTGCGAAAATTCAGCTGGCCTCCAACGCTACATTCTTCAAAGTTTCAACGGTGAAACTCTGGATGGCTTGAATGTACAAGAAATCCAAGAATTTGATCGAGGTAAATTACTCCAGACATAATTAGGCGTGTTACACTGATGAGTTTCTTCTATCGCTGTTCCTGAAAAGCAATGGGTTTTATCACAGGTCCGTGCCTTGATCGAGGGCCAATTTCTCTCAATGCGTGCTCATGCAGAAAGATTCGGAATGCCTTCTCCTCCGAAACGAATCATTGCTACGGGTGGAGCATCAGCAAATAAAAGCATTCTCAGCTCAATTGCATAAATTTTTTGCTCTGATATACACTGTTCAAAGACCAGGTGTGTCTTGCTAATTAAATAGGGGGTTGGATTGCAATTTTACCATCCAAAATTAAAATCCACTCGCCTTCCTGAAAATCAATGGAAATAGAGAAGGGGGATGCCGTCTACGTTTCTGCATAGCATTTTTGGCGATCGATTGGGCGATTGCCGGATAATTGTTTGGGGATTGTTGCGCGACGATGAACCGATTGACGGTAAACGGCAACTTTGGATTTATAATATAATATTTTCTGACAAATGTTTTGACGAATTAAGATCTCCAACTGTAACTATTGCTCATGACCATTCTTAACTTAAATAATTTACGAAATTTAATTTTAAATAAATTAAATCGCTTAAATCAATTATTATTTTTAATAAAAAATTATAATTCTTTTAAAAGTAGAATTATATTTTCTTTAATAATTAATTTAAATAAATCCTTATACCTTTTAATATTTGCATAATAAAAACAAATTTGATTGTGGTACGTTTCAATGCATCGTTTTAGTGGTACGTGACAAGCGCTGTAGAATTTTCCATTATATAATATATTCGGCTAAATAAAATAAGTGAATAATAATATTATAACATTTAATTAACTAAAATAAGTGAATATAATAAGATTTGGGTAAACTGCACAAATGATCATTCGACTATAGGATATTACTTTATTAAGTTATTCGATCATTAAAAGTTAAAAAATGATCATTTGACTATAGAGTGTTGCTTTGTTGAGTCCATCGACTATTAAAAGTTACAAAATGGTCACCCGACTATTCGTTATATTCCAAACTCGTCATTTTCCGTTAAAAATTGATAGTATTAAGAGTTGAATGTTAACCTGTTAACTATGATATGATAAAATCTGATCTTAGAACCTCAAAGACTAGCATATCTTATTCATCATGTTAATATCCAGATTAGACAATAATCAATGTTTTATGTAAAAGGACGAGTTTAAAACATAATAAATAAACGAGAGATCATTTTATAACTTTTAATAATTGAGAAACTTAGTAAAATAGTATCCTATAATTGGTAACCATATGTGTATTTTACCTATAAAATTATAGTATATTAGCATTAGTAACCAAACACGATTTTAAACGAATGCTTCCGTAGGTTCTTCGCCAACCTCTACAAATAAGACATTTGATTCATAAAAAAGCCAAAACAAGGCATGCTAAAGTTGACTAAACAATGAAATAAATTAAAATTACAACCTCTGTTTTGAAAATCGGATCGGATCGGTCGGTTCAATCAGTTCAATCGGGAATCGTTGTCTAGTCCGGTTCAATTTAAACCGGTTGAACCGCTACTAGTGAATCGGCCAGAACCGCTTAACCGTTCGAACCGGACCGGCTGAAAACCAGAAAAAATCAGAAAAAACCGAAAATTTTGTTTTTTTTAAAAAAATTAAACCAAACGTCGTTTGTTAAACAAGCCAAGTCGAACTCGAGTATTGCTGAGCTCGACTCGAACTTGAAAACTTTAAAAGTAAGCTCAACTCCACTCAAACTCACAAGTTAAAAATTATCAAGTTCAACTCGAACTCGAAATATAATATTGAAACTTAAACTCAAAAATGCTTGAACTAAAAAAATATTTAGAAGCTCAATTGAAGCCTAAAATTCGAGCTTGATTGAAGTGAAAGAATAGTTCACTCAATGCTCACCAAAAGGCTCTATGATTTTGAATGTCAAATTACTTCTATTATTTATAGAAGTTAGTTGTGATGCTCTTCTATGTTTCTTAGCAATGTGAGATTGTTTTGTTCTCATATTTTTACTCTTTAGACTTTTGAGATGCTCTTCTATGTTTCTTAGCCATGTGAGATTGTTTTTAAAAAAAAATTAAACCAAACAATTTCATTTTGTTATGATTTTTTTAGCCCCAAATTTATTTTTTAATTATAGTTATATAATTATATTTATTATTTAATATGTTTTACCTTAAATATTGTGTTGTAGTTAATTTGAATCATTTTGTTTCACTTTATTTTATGGTTTTTAATTTACATATGTTATGACTTGCTTTGAATATGACTTGTGATATAAAAAATTATTTTTTATTAAATATTTTTGGTATTTTTATTTAATTTTTAAATAATTATGACGTCGTCTAATTCTTCTGACCGATCGGACCGATTCAACCGATTGAACCAGTAAACCGATAACATGACCGATTCGCTAACTGATCTGGTTCTAAAAACCATGATTACAACCTATATATATAGAGGGAGAGATTCCTGTTATTTAACAAAAATAAAATACTAATCTCAAGCACAGAAATCTTCTGGCTTTAGTACAGTAGAAAGACACTTTCCTATTCTCCACCTTCCTAAGCCCAAAAACCATGATTACAACCTATATATAGAGAGAGAGATTCCTGTTATTTAACAAAAATAAAATACTAATCTCAAGCACAGAAATCTTCTGCCTTTAGTACAGTAGAAAGACACTTTCCTATTCTCCACCTTCCTAAGCCCAAAGGGTCTTTGATTTCTCTCCTTTTCTCTGTTGCCCCAAAGGGTATGTAAAACCAAACACAAATCATCGTATGCTTATGTTTTTTCTCTTTCATTTATGCTGTTGTTGTCGGTTTTGGGATCTGATTAACAGGAAATTCCCTCTGTTAGATATGGAAGCTATCAAGAAGCAGGCTACCAAGTTCAGACAGCAAGTTGCCAAGCAACAGCAAGTAGGCCTTTTTTCCTTTTCTTTCCTTTCATCTTTCATCGTATCCGATACACTTAAGTTTCCAGGTTTCAAGCGTATGCTTTAGACTGATAAAAAAACCGTATATAATTCTACGCTTTACCAATTTTCAAATATAACCACCATGACAAAGTTGGATTTTTTTGTGTTCAATCCTGAATTTTATTGGGCATCTCTTTAAACAAACTCCAAGTTTAATAATAAGCTAGGATATCAAGGGCTTTTTTTTTCATAGTATACATGTGACAGAAACGTTAAGATTAAAATCTGTACCATTATGTTTCTCATTACTGACTGTCAGTAGTTTCGTCCATAATGGTTCAAATACTCTCAATCACGCAGGCAGTACTCAGTCTCCTTGGGCATTTTAGTAATGAAGACATTGCGGTCGATGAAGCCGAACTTCAATGTCATCAAAAGCTTCAAGACCTGTATGTTTCTACTAAGGCCGCCAAGGTACATTCTTCTGCCCTTCCTCAACCAGTCCTATTGGTTTAACTTTTAACTTGTGAATAAATGCATATCAAGTTATCAACTTACGCTTCTTAACTATGATTGCAGCATTTGCAGCGAAACATTTTCCGAGGCGAAGAAGGATTTATTGCAACAAGCTCAAAGCTAATAGAAATAGGTATGCAGGGCTGTCTCATTTACTGCATGTTGTTCCCTGTACAAAGCCAATTCATGCTGTTTCACTGCGACTATTTTAGCTAGGAAGTTGGCTGATGATTGTTGCAAGTATGGAGCTGGAAATCAAAATACTGGTTCAACTCTTGCAAGAGCTTCCCTTTGCTTTGGTAAGTCACATAAATCAATGGAAGATGAAATGGAGACATTGCTTGGGATCCTTGGTGAGAAGGTAATTTCTTAACTTTATTACCATATACTGATTGCTCATAGGGGTCTCTTGTGGAGAAGAAATTATTGGTATTGTTAATGATAACTGAAATGTATTCAATGTTATGATGATGAAATAATGATAAGAGATGTTGTCAACTAACTTGGAACGTCTATTGTTTGGGTTCTGATTTTGTCTTGTTAGGCATTGTCTTCAATTAATGAAATGTTTAAGGCCTGTTGTTGATTCTAGGCGTTTATAGATTAGAAGCGAAAATTATCGATTTATTGTTTCCCTAGCGTTATTTTTAGTATTTATAAAACAAGTCTCCAACTGCCTTGGCAAATATGAGAGAGAGTGAGAGAGAAGTTGTGAGAGAAAGGGCGAAAAATAATTTATTTTCCGAGGAGATTTGGAAGGTGGTTGTGGATTATCTTAGTCGGAGAGTGTCAAGACGTGCATTAAGGGAAATGTTCTTAGTTCATGGTCCAGTTCAGAGAGTCTATATTCCCAAGAAAACTAGAAATCCAAAATACAGATTTTCCACTTTTGTTTTTGTGCAGTTTGGAAATGAAATGGTTTGAGAAGGGTTGTAGAAAATCTTAATGGTGTGGTCATAGATGGGAGAAGGATCACGGTTGGAGTCGCAAGATACAATGAATCCCGTGCATGGTTAGAGCGTAATAATAAAGATTTAAAGAAGGATGCTGGTCCGATCACTACAGATATATCTAATTCAAAAGAGCCAGATGATGTTCTTAGAAGTTTGAGGGATGGCATATCGTATAAAGATGCTTTGTTGTAGAACAAGAGGCCGAGGAGTGTTCTGGAGATCAAAGATACAGCCGACGATGCTCAAAACAGGGGAAAAGTCAGGAAAAACATCATGGAGATGCACATTTCATCTGAGAGCTCGAGCTGGGTTAAAAGATCATTGACGGGGATTATCAAGCATTCATTTGAGTTAGAGTTAGTTCAAAATGCCTTAGTAAATAAAGGCTATGACGTCCAGGTTGTTAGATGGGGGTATGTCTGGAACTCTTGTGTAATAGTTTTTAAATCAGCTGAAGAAATGTCAGACGCTTGGATGAAGAAGAAAGAAGATCTTTAATTCTGGTTCGATCGTTTAGAGACATTACTGAACGAAGATGGTGTTCCTTTGGCTTTTTGTTTGGTGGAGTTTTTTGGGTTACCTCTTTTATTCTGGAATGAGTCTTTCCTTGAAAGTTTAGCAGGGAGATGGGGAAGGGTGATAAATATTCTTGATGACACTAAACAGAGGGAAGATCTTACAAAGGCAAGATTGCTAATTAGGGTGGCAAGCCCTTTTGATGTTCCAGATCAAATTACTATTGGATCATATGGAAGATCTTTCAAAGTAACCATGAAGATTGGATCGACGAATGATGAGACTATTTTCTTTTCCATAAATCCTCCGGTCGCCAGTTCCGATGAGGGACAGTTTGGAACGTTCATGACTAAGAATGAAGGACAGGGTATGGTCAGAAAATGAGGAAGGTTCTGCTAGATCAGTAGAAGAAAATCGTCAGAGAGTGGACAGTTGGATGGAACAGGGCGCAGCTATTAGGCATGGTGGAGTTGGTGGGGATAATCGGTTTCTAAGAATTTCAAAAATAAGATCAGACGTTAAAATCTTGTAATAGCAACAAAGCCCCGGGGCCGGATGGTTTTAATTTGGGTTTTTTCAAGAGATATTGGCATGTACTTAAAGGAGAAATTATAAAATTCTTCCTTAACTTCTATTCGGGGAAAGATTGGGATCATGTCATCAACCATACCTTTATTACTCTTATTCCTAAGGTCTCTAACAGTGGTGACCTTGATGATTATAGGCCTATTAGCTTAGTTAGTGGATTATATAAGATCCTCTTTAAGTGCCTATCGAGGAGGTTGAGGAGTTGTATTTCAGACTTAATTAGTCCTACACAATTTGCCTTCACCCAAGGGAGACAAATATTGGACTGTTCTTTAATTACGAATGAAGGAGTGGATTATTGGAGAAAAAATGGTCTTAAAGGTTGTGTTTTCAAGGCAGATTTCAAGAAAGCGTATGATTCGGTTGATTGAGATATTTTGTTTCTAGTAATGGAGAAAATGGGATTTGGTTCTAGGTGGAGAGGTTGGATCAGAAAATGTGTAACCATAGCTTCACTTTTTGTTTTAGTGAATGGAGTTCCTACAGAGGAATTTCCAATGGCTAAAGGACTTAGACAGGGGTGCTCACTATCACCTCTGTAGTTTAATCTTATTGGAGAACTTCTTAATCTGCTAATTTTAAAGGCTGTGGAACAGTGTTTGTGTTCTGGACTGTTTATAGGTACGGATGCGAGTGCTTTCAAATTATCTCATCTACAGTTCGCAGATGATCTCATTATATTTTGTGGGGCGTCTAAGACGCAGATTTTAAATGTGAAGAGGGTGCTTAGAGTGTTTTAAGTGATTTCTAGTTTGCAAAATAACATGAAGAAAAGTAAACTGTTTGGTGTGAATTTGAACGAAAAAGATGTTCAGCAGTGGGCTAATTCTATCGGATGTTCAGTGGGTAGTTTTCCCTCTGAATATTTAGGACTGCCTTTGGGAGCTACTAGAAATTCTTCTATAGTACTTTGGAATCCGGTGGTGAATAATTTTACAAATAAATTAGCTGGGTGGAAGGCTTCTTCACTATCATTAGCAGGAAGGTTGGTTTTAATAAAGTCGGTTCTATGTTCGCTCCATACGTATTATTTATCTTTATTTAAGATACCAGCTTAGGTTCTTAAATTTCTCAACTCAATTATGTCGAAATTCTTATGGGGAGGGGGAATAGGTAAAAATAAGATATATTGGGTTAACTGGCCGATTGTGTGCAAGTCAAAATTCGAGGGGGGTTTAGGTTTTAGAAATCTTATTTTCATGAATATAGCTCTTCTAGCAAAATGGTCTTGGAGGTATGCTAATGAAAGGGGGTCTGTTTGGAGGGAATTCATTTGTTCTAAATACAATATGGATACATCTTGGTTAATGTTTGACAGCAAAGTCCCACAAAAAGTATCTTGGATTTGGAGATCGGTGGTTATGAATCACTTTAAAGATGACAATATTGGCTCTAAGTTTAGAAGCTTGTATTCTTTTCGAGTTGGGGATGGCAAATTGATTAGGTTATGGCAGGATAGTTGGGCTTTGGACTATCCTCTTCTAATTATTTTCCCGCGATTGTTTTCCATTTCCACAAACAGAATGGGCAAACTGGTTGAATTTGGGAAATACAGCTCATCGGGATGGAGTTGGGATCTACAGCTTAGAAGAAATTTAAATGACTGGGAAGTAGAGCAGTGGGTTAGTTTGATGAACGCTATTTCCTCTATTTCTCTATCTATGGAGTTATGTGATGGGGTGATTTTGGAAATGTACTGGGGATGGGATGTACTCTGTTAAATCTGACACTAAGATTTGTACAGCCTTTTCTTCGAATTCGGAAGAGGTATATTTTTGGAAGAAGATTATTTGGAGGGGCTAGATTCCACCTAGAGTGGAGTTCTTTATGTGGCAGGTGGTGTTAGGGAAGCTGGCTATTAGAACAGAACTTGTTAAAAGGGGAATTCAAGGAATTGTAGACATTATATACCCTCTTTGCAAGAGGGAGGTGGAGTCTCCCTCGCACTTGTTTTTCACGTGTTCGGTGGTGTGGACGATTTGGAACAAATTTCTGAATTTCTGGACGATTAAGTATGTTTTTCATATTAATGCTAAAAACTTCCTACTTGCTTGGGCTGATTTGAAGTCTACCTCTACAATTTGGTCTCTAATTCTTGGGGCAGTTCTTTGGACTACTTGGAAAGCTAGGAATCTTATTGTGTTTGAAGGGGGAAAGTTGGATTTGGCTTAGTATTTTTTCCTAGCAAGGTTTAGACTAGCTTCTTGGTGCCTTGCTAAGTACAAAAATGTTTCTATTCCTAAGGATTCTCTTATTTCAGACCCTTCAGTAGGGGATTTGTGCTCTCTCAATTCTAATCGGCTTGTAGTTAAATTTCCTTGATCTCTTCCTCCTAAAGGTTTTGTAAAGTTAAATGTTGATGCGGCTACTACAAGAGATTGGAAGAAGAGTGGGATAAGAGGTGTTCTAAAGGACTCCTCGGGTTTGACTTTAAGTTCTTTCAAGGAATCTGCTGGTCCGGGTCCTCCAACTTTTATGGAATTTAAAGCTATGAAGAAGGGTCTAATGTTCTATTTGGATTTACGAGAGAGGAAGGGCCTTCTGATTATCGAAAGCGACATCAAGGTGGTTGTAGACTAGATTAAGGAAGTGGATTTAGTTCCTGATGTTTATGTTTTTTTTATTAAAGATATTGTTCACAGGCTTAATGTTTTAGAAGGTGTTGTCAGATGGGTTAATAAGACAACCAATTTAGAGGCTGATGCCTTAGCTAAAGAAGGAATTAGCTGATTTTATGTTTATAGTTTGGATGTTTTATGGCTGTTTCGAGCTTATTTGGTTATGTTGGGGTGTATAATGGTTGTATCTTATGTAATTTTATGGTTCAATAAAATCCTAAGGCACTCTTTTCCTCCTTCCGCTGATTAAGGAGCTTACCTATAAGTTCCATTAATCAAGAAGGGGGTTTTTAACGAGGCCTGAAATTCTTATAAAAAAAAAGATGTGCAGAATGGGGGAGTATCAAAGTGGGTGAGTTTGCAGGTTTAGGATTGAGAGATTCAAAAATGACGGCAGATGGGTCTGAAGCCTAACGTAATAAGGATTATTCCTGCTGGGTCAAAAATTAAAATTGATAAATTTGGGAAAACGGTTCAAGATCAAGATTTGGCTAAGTTAGGATTTTATAGCAGAGAAGAAGTGGGGAGGAGGTCAGATTCAGAGATAATTGAACAAGATGGTTTTCGAGCCAAGGATTCTGAGTTAATGGTGAGAGAGCCTACCATTGATATCTCAGGAAGCAAAGTTAAGGGTAGACTGTATTATAAGTTTGACAGTTCGTTAAGCACCAAAAGTGTACCGTTAG